AATAAAAATGACGGTCGAGTTGTAAAAATAAAAACTGTGTGTCTTGTATTTAAAAGCATTGGATGGGGGGACCTGTTGGAATTATATTTTTTCTGGTTCAACTCTAGTTTCAATATTTATTAGACAACTTAAATATTAATTTCTTTAAACTAATATTTGAAAATATTACAAAAGGGAAACCTGACTCTAAATTTATAAAAAATTGGTAATGAAATTAAACAACTGTTTATCTGGCAGCTCTGTTTCCGGTTTCAATAATCACTATGTATTTACATTGCACCTGACCTCAGCAAAGTTCACAACCAACATTGGTTGGCAAATATGTATGTAGGTATATTATTTTGATTTTAGTTTTGAATTTTTTTTAATAAAACTACGAAACTTAAAAGATAATTCGGATAAACTTAGAAAAATTCTCGACCTCCTATAGTTTTACAATTTTTAAAATTCTTGTATTATGGGAACCTAATTACAAATATTTATGCCGGGGTCAGCGATACGACCGATTTTTTCCAAAAAGGAACCACTAAATACCGTTATACGTTGTATATATTTGTTTGTCATTACCTTTCAAATGTAAAGTTAACATTTTACAGGAAAAAAGCAAAATAAGCCCATTACCTTGTAACGGTTGTTTTAAAATAAGAGCTATTCTAATTAGTTTGATCCGGCAACACCGAATATTATCGATATTCTGAAAAACTCTCATGCCATTGTCCATCTCTATTAAATGAGAAAAAAAAACTGCAGCAATAAAATTATCAAAATATCAATAAATTTATTACAAAGGAGATAAATAAATTAATTTTCATTAAGAAGCACTAAATATATTTATAAAAACTGCGAAAATGTCACCGACTATAGCTATAAGTGATATCGATGTATATCGATGACTCATGTGGTGCCATCGCTGATCCGAAAATTTATTGTATTTACTTTATTCAATTGGACGAACCTGCAGCGAGTGGACGAGCAAAGGAGCTTTTTAAGGAGCCAGCCGATCCCAGAGAGAAAACAGAGTAGCCGCCATGTCCACGCAGCCAGCGGAGAACGAGGAGAGTGCGGCGGCGAAGTCCAAGCGACCTTCAGGTGAAAACCCAGTTCAATTCGAGTACACTCCCCCGCCCACTCCCTCTCCCACACACACACACGCACGCACAACAAACACACACACACACACTTAAGCGCGTAACAAGTGATAAGGGGAATGACTAATGTCCAATGGCAAATCGATTTTCGGGGCCAATCCTGGACGCCCTGCATAAACCATGAGGTCACGCCTGGTCGCTAACCTTCTGCTCCTCCCACCCACTCCCATCCGCAGATTCGGCCTTCAAGCAACAGCGCCTGCCCGCCTGGCAGCCCGTCCTCACCGCCCGCACCGTCCTGCCCACATTCTTCGTGATCGGGGTGCTCTTCATACCCATTGGCGTGGTCCTGCTGCACCTGAGCAACACCGCCAACGAGCTGATCATCGACTACACCAAGTGCAGGCCGTCGGGCGGAAACGCCACCTGCGCGGAGTACCTGGAGGCCAACGCGGGCGGCAAGTGCACCTGCCAGGTGCCCTTCGTCCTGCCCACGGACTTTAATGTGAGTTGAGGGGATCCCAATGCAGTCTAGGAACCCTACAATGTATTGCACAACTTACCAGCTCGCCAAATAATATCACCATAGCTTCCATCATAGGATGTGCGCTTAAGAGATTTTAAGATAAACTATACCACCTATTCATTACTGATATATCCTCTTCAGTTATACCGTTTTTCCTACCCTATAATCCTGTTTAAGTAGCCTACTATGTGGTTCATAACCCATCAGTTCGTCAAATACTATCATCGTAGATCATATCATAGCATATGCCTAAGAGTCCCATTTGTACCACCATAACCATTCATAACTCAAGTATCCTGATCAATTAGAACGCTTTTCCTTACAATATAATTTTTTTTACAATCTATAAAGTTTTTATCAACCTACCTTTTATCACAGCAAATTTGTATGAAGTTTATAATGTAGTTATAGTGAAAACCATAAGTGCCTAGTTCCAAATGTTTAATATTTGATAACAAACGTTTATGGTTTTTATTTTGAAGGTTTTTATGTGCTACAAAAATTCTGCATAAAAATACTTATCTAAAACTATTTTTTTTACAAAGTTTCACAATGATGAAAATCTGTTTTTTTAGGCAGTAACCTTAAAGTTAACATTTCTTGTGTAACTGAGTAAACTGGAATAAATCATAAACAAGACCTTTCCTTCAGCTTTTTATTATAATATTATAATAGCAATAGGTCTTAAGATAAATGGTGCGTCGAAATTTAACTTTGTAAACCATTTCTTCTGTTTAACTGTGTTAATGTATAGTACTTTTTCTGTTTAATTAATTTAATCATATTAATATTTTATTCAACTATTTATGTTTAATTGTTTTAATGACGTAAAGATTTTAAGCCAATTAAACATAAACAGATTATAATCCATTTGCTCTATTCAACTGAAATTAATCATATAATTGTAGTCATTTTTCTGTTTAATTGTACTGATGGTACTAAGTTTTTAGTTTTACAAACAACATATGCAGTAGTATTAATATTTTCACATTTGCTTAACTTCCTTCCACAGGGCGTGGTCTACATGTACTACGGCCTGACCAACTACTACCAGAACCACCGGCGCTATGTGAAGTCACGGGACGACGAGCAGCTGCTGGGTCACCTGTCGCAAACGCCCAGCTCGGACTGCGACCCCTTCGCCTACGACCCAGAGTCAAGGAAACCCATTGCGCCCTGCGGTGCCATTGCCAACTCGCTGTTCAATGGTGCGACATGCCCTTCTGCCACATCGATTGCACTGCAACTAACCTTGATCCCTTCCAGACACGCTAACCCTGATGCAGGCGGGCAACGAGATCAAGCTGCTGAAGACGGGCATTGCCTGGCCGTCGGACAAGCGGGTAAAGTTCCGCAACCCGGAGGGCAACCTCAACGTCTCCCTCGAGGACTTTGCCAAGCCAATTTTCTGGCAAAAGGGATTGGCCGAGTTGGACCCGGAGAATCCGGAAAACAACGGCTTCCAGAACGAGGATCTGATCGTGTGGATGCGCACCGCCGCTCTGCCCAGCTTCCGAAAACTATATCGCCGGCTGGACCAGACGAATACCAACTATGCTAATGGTCTGAAGGCCGGCAATTACACGCTGAACATCACGTATCGTAAGTTTGGATGGCTTAGAAGGCACTTAAATCCTTACATCTTTGCTTTTGGCTTTGCAGAATATCCGGTGGTCTCGTTCGACGGCACCAAGCGCATGATTCTGTCCACCACCTCCGTGCTCGGTGGCAAGAATCCCTTCCTGGGCATCGCGTACATTGTCGTCGGCGCAATTTGCATCACCCTGGGCCTGGCCCTGCTTTTCATCCACATGCGATGCAACCGCAGGTGAGTTCAGCTCGCTGAGATCATTGGTTCATCCTCATTTCACCCTCATGACCATCAACCTTCCCGCCTTATCCCTACTTCCACAGCATAGTAGTGCATTAGGTCCGCTAAGAGTCGAGAATTCCTCATACCCCATTGAAGCCGCATTCTTTCTCATGGCCAAATTAGCTTTGCTCGGTGCGCGATAAGTATTCACATTTAAGTAGCGATTGATAGTAGCTTTAGTCCATATCGGGGGATACGATTGACTGACCGATTTTCTTAAGGGCTCTTGAACTAATCAACGTTTTATTTCTGTTTCCCCAGCAGCAACATGGAGATGATCAACGTGAACCCGCACACGCAGTACTCCTAGGCCGAGCACCGATTGTATTCCGGGCCGCGTCACTTAGCTTTAGTAGATCCATCTGTTTAAGCCTTATCAGCATAAAATAGTTTCTATTGACCAACTGGCTCTGTGTTTTCGACTGCTGTACTCTTTGTGTTACCTAACTGTGTGCATTTGGCCATCGGATCGAACCACTGGCCGTGCCTCTTGTTGATTCTACTTGCTTTTGCCCCCATACATGTGTGCACCCAAACTATTTGTGATTTTTTTGTATAACTTATTCTGCACATCTGACACACCGAGTGGGGCGCCCTTCGTAAACCCACACGAATTTCCACCATCGCTTTACAAACTGCAAAGAAGTACTTTGTGCTTGACCTAATCTGTATTGCCTTTTACTACGTTTATACGTGCAAATAAACACTGTCAATGGCGAAACCATCTTGTTTTATTAGAAGCTGTAAATCTATATAGTGTTTTGGGGGACTTAAGATCCAGAACTCACTGCTATATTCTTTGTTAAATCAGGGCTTTAATGATAAAAGATTGAAATAGTGTTGAAAGATTTATCAACACTGTTAATGGCGGAACCATCTTGTTTTATTGCAAACTGTAAGTCTTTATAATGTTTTGGGGAACTTAAGACCCTGAAATCAGTACTATGTTCTTTTTAAAATCAGGGCTATATTGATTAAAGATTAAAACAGTGTTGAATGACTTAGCAACACTGTTTATGGCAGAACTCTCCTGTTTTATTAAAAACTGTAAATCTATATCATGAACGCTGTTAATCCCACATCTCAGATGAGCTGAAGGCCTTAGCTGCTAAGCTCTTATTTTTAGTTAGCCTATAGTTTTAAGTTTAAGCTAGCTTTATATAAATAAAATAAAAATATCATGAACTTAAGATCCAGAACTCAGTACTATATTCTTTGCTAAATCAGATTAAGATTAAGTTTTTTCCCATGTTCCATTTCAAAATACCATTCATGTAAGACCAAACAGAGCATTTTGATACGAAAACATGTGGTTATCGGTGCTCTTTCAGCATTTCCGGCTGTATTTTTTAGATAAGGTTCCTAGTAGAGACTCTCCACTATCGGGCTATTGGAATCTGCTAAACCAACAAAAGAAAACTACCTTTTGTTTTCTATATATATTTTTAGGTTTATATTTCTTTTATTACTTTCTTTTCGATTCTTCAACGCGTGAGGGACAAAAGTTTGCTTATATGATTCTGCATTTGTTTTAATTTATTTTGTACGTTTTAGACTACATTTCCAGTTACATTTTAGATTTTGCTTAAGCTACTTTTACATATAATGCCGCCGCTATCAGTTGTGTCTATATATGTATGTTGAAGTTGTGTGCGCATGCGTGTGGGTTTGGTTTTGGGTTTGGGGTGTAGTGTGAAAAATAAGTAATGTACAGATTATGGGTAAATCGTTATATTAGCTACACGAATAAATCTCAATCTATGTAAATACGTGTCTAAGTATGGATCCACTATTGACCTTGGTCTTCCTTCCGCATCAAGATGATAGTGTCAGTTGTTTGCATACTAGGATTCTACTAAATTTCCAAAATGCCGGGCCAAGAAACTCTTGTGTTTATTATAAACGTAAAAAAAACAAGGATGCAACATAATAAAACTTTTCAAATTAATGGGTAAAAAAAGAATGTAAATTATTTAATGCTTTAATTTGATAAGGCCGGCCATTGTTATCTTGTTATCGAGTAAGTTGTTCCATTGAAATACTTGTTCTTTTGAAAAGAAAACGTGTTTCAATAAGAAAAGAACGGACCGTCAACTTTTGTGTCAGCCAAGTACGACATTCTAGGGTATTACAAAAACAGTTTGATTAAATGTTTAAAATATGAATCAGTTATAATTTTTTGTACAATTTAAAAATTTTTCTAAATTTTGACTTATTTTATTTTACGGATTGATTTTTCTATTGTATTGGCTATGTTTGTTTAATAAAAATATAAAGAGGAAATGAAAAATGATTCTAATTGAGGGGGCAAAAATGTTGTGACCACGTACTCTGTTCATCTTAGCAATCCTTTTTCTCATTCCCAAGCAAAGAGTATCTTGCCAGAAGAAGGATGTTCAACATTTTAATCCGATTTCCTTATCTTTGTGCAAAGGTAATAAGATACAATTTTTCAAATATAAAAAAAGGATAAGATACATAAACTAAGAAGACTATTTATTCAATGTAAATTAACCGCCTACTTGGTTTATACATCAAACCAAGTAGCTTACCAAAAGATATAGACTTGCTAAGTGTTCATAGATATGGATAAAATAAATTAATTATGATTTAGTTTGATAAGTAGATAGAAGATGTTATTCAAGTCTGCTTTTTTGGTCCTAAAGTGGGGGACCCGAGCTTTTAACCGATTGTAGAATTTCGGGAAGACCAAGGTTTGCATACGTAAACAAAACCTAAACAACTATCGCTTTGTGTGTGGTGTGTGTGTGTTTGAGAGTGTCATGCTGTCGTGTGAAATACTTTGAAAATCCTGATGGTTCTGTTTTACTAACTAACTGAGCGGTTTCCCTTGCGTTTTCTGTCGCTTGCTTTGGTGCGTCGTAAACTTTTTGCTTGATAATTGATGTGTAACATATTAAGACGTACTTTTCTATATGCTTAGGTCTACTATATCAATGTATATATATTTATAGGTTTTATAGCGAAACTTAGCCGTAGAAGGATGCCTATAGATCCCGTATTCTTGCTTTGTGTGTGGGTGTGTGCGCGGTACAAACTAGGTTAACATTTGAAAAAAAAAAATGTCTTAGCTTACATATATTTATATATATGATGTACACATATATGTTAGTTAAGTTCTTACGACTAGAAGCAAGAAAAAAAAAAGGGGTTTATATAACACACACGCACACACACGCATCTCGTGCTATACATAAACGTGGCTGATTTTTGTTGATGGAATGCGTTGCTGATGTTCATGTGGTTGCTGATGTTTCATTGTTTTCTGAATGATTGAGATGATGATGAGATGATGATGGCGGTGTTTAAGTGGATTGGCTTTGTACATTTCAAGTGAGTTTGGATCGAGATGATGATGATGATGAGGTGGTGCTGGTGGTGGTGGTGGTGTTGGCAGAATGACTACTCAATTTGTCGTTGCAGCTTTTGCAGCTGCTGCAGTCGTCGCCGTGGCAGCAACAGTCTTGCTCTTGTTGTTGTTATTGTTGGCCAGCACCGCTGACTTGGAGTCAGGCTTCGTCTTTGCTGCCGTTGCCAATGTTGCTGCCGCGCCGCCTGCTGTTGCTGTTGCCGCTGCTGTGGCGGCTGCTGCTGTTGCCACTGCTGGCTGCGCCGCCGCCGCTGTTGAGAGCTTTGGCCCATTGAGGATATGGCTTTTGATGTGGCTCTGGAGAAGCTCCTGAGAATCGAAACAAAGTTGACATAGATCACAGGTAAAGCCGGGATCATTCAACTGATCGTCGGCCTTCTTACGCCGCTCACCCGTGGAATGCGTATGCGAATGCGAATTGGACGTGGTCGTTGTGGTGGACTCGCTCTCCGAGGAGGAGGCTGTCGACACCACATTCGGCTCGTCCTCCGCATCCCCCTCATCTAAATCATCGTCGTCCACCTCCTCGATGACATCCTCCGGATCGGGATCCGGATCGACATCCTCATCGAACTCCTCTTCGATGATGTCCTCGATGGGGATCACACCATCGTCCTCCTCATCCGAGCTGGCCACGATCAGCGGCGGCATTTTCGACTTGCCATTCATTAGCGGTCGCACCGGCAATGCCACTGGCTCCGGCTCCTCAACATCGTCCTCCTCATCGTCATCTTCATCATCGTCGTCGCTTTCCACCTCGCCATCATCTTCGTCGTCCTCGTCCGTGCTGTAGATCTGCTCGACGAGATCATCGTCATCCTGGTTAAGATTCGCTTTGTGCTGCTTCTGTGGCGGCAACAATTGAGCCGGCGGCTGCACACCCTCTTCGTCCTCGCCCTCGCCGCCATCTCCCTCCTCGTCCTCGTCGTCATCTTCACCCTCACCATCCTCATCGTCCGTGTCGTCGTCTTCATCATCGCCCGTGCCCGAGCTTTCCTCCTCTTCGCCCGAGCTATCATCCTCATCCAGGTCATCGCTATCTTCTTCCATCTTTTCTGCTGCTGTTGTTGCTGCTGCTGCCGCTGTTCCTGCTGCTGCCACCTCACCTTTTTCGAGGGATTGCTCCTCAATTTTCGCTGCCTCACCCAATGCTGTTGATGATGGCGCCGCCGCTGTGGTTGCATCTTCTGACGCCGCCGCCTCCATGGCCGCTGTCCTCTCTATGGCTGCCTTGGTGGCCACCGGCACTATGACCTCCTCCTTGAGATGGTTGTTGATGTGGTTCATCAGCTTCTCCTTGCGCGACAGATACTCGCCGCACAGATCGCAGCCCCACTGGAAGGGGCAGAAGGGTCGCACCACCTTCGCGTCGGCCAGCTTATGCTCGATCCACAGCTCCTTGGTGTCGAACTTCAGCTGACAGCGACGGCAGGTGAGATGGTCGTCGACCACAATCACCGGCGGCTCCGGCAGATTGCTTACCTCGTGCTTGTGCAGCTCGTACATGTGGCGACGCAGATTGTTGTTACTGATGAAGGTGGAGGCGCAGTATTCGCATTTCAGCTCACGTTTCCGCTTCATCGACTTGCTGCGGTTCCCGCTGCTGCTGTTGTTGTTGTGGTTCATGCTGCTGCTGTTGCACGAGTTGTTGAGGCTCTGCTGCTGCTGTTGCTGCTGCTGGTTGGGCATCAGACCCACCGCATGCAGCTCGCGTAGGTGCAGCATCGAGTTGTTGTTGTTGTTGGTTGTATGATTGTTGTTGGTCAACTGTGTCGCTTCGCCGTCGATGGGGTTCTGCAAGGATTAAGTTGCCAGATACACAGATACAGGCAGGATTTTGGGGGAGTGGTGAGGGAAAGAAAAGAGAGAAATACACATAGATTAGTACACATTCGTTTTGCAATGACGAGATGTTGATATCTGTTTTTTGCGACTGGTGCGGAGGCATCATCATCATCATCAGCACATCAAAAGTTGTTGGTGGCGCGACAGACGACGATCCTCGCCATCGTCCGTCGCCATCGTCCTCCTCGCTGCACAAGCCCAAAAACGCTCACCTGCTTGCTATCACCTCTGAAATGCCACTTGCGATGCACCTTGAGTGCGATCACCTGGGGGAACGTCTTGGCGCACAAATCGCACGCGTACTCCCCGTTCTCGTTCTGCCGCTCCACCTGGAACTGCCCGGCATCCGCTGGCCCATCGTCGAACATCGCCGCCAGCGGATTGTCCACGTACAGTTCCTGCTCGTGCTTCTGGATGTGCTTGCTAAAGTGCTCCTGGTCGGTGAAGCGGGCCCCGCAAATGGTGCAGGCCACCTCGGGTATGCGAATCTTTAGCGACGTGGCCGCCGTCACAACACTGCTCGAAGCCATTCCCGCCGCCACAGTTCCATTCCCATCGTTATTGGCCCGCTCGTCCAGCTGCTGCTGCTGCTGGTCATCGTCCTCCTCTTCGTCCTCGTCGTCGCCCGTCTTGTGCCGGAAAACGGTTCGTCTGGCTGGCTGGAGAGACGCCTGCTGCTGCTGCAGCTGCGCATCCTGCTGCTGGTGGGCACCTGTCGATGTGATCGGCTTGCGGTTGCAGGTGGGCGTGTGGTTGTCATGCATCTGGCGGTCAAAGAAGACCTTGCGGCACAGCGAGCACTCGGCCGGGTCGGGTACTTGCGGATGCTTCTTATAGCGATGCACCTATGGGCGAAGAAAAAGAAATGGTTAATGGTATTGCTGTTGCTGCTGTTCCCCTCCCTTAAACCAATGTAATCCAGCTACTCTGCAACCCAAAAAACTGGTTATTCCCAGCCAGACTTACCCATAGACTCTTGCGTCCGCTGTAGACGTTGCCGCAATCTTTGCAGGAATAATCGTTCGAGTCAAACTCGTCGTGCGAGTTGATGTGGATGGCCAGTTTTTTGTTGGTGTTGAAGTTGGAGGGACAGTACTTGCACTGGTACCAGTACAGCGGAGTGCCCAGGACCTGACCCGAAGCCGATGCAGTGGAGGCACTGGCCGCCAGGGTGGAGAGATCAGCCAGATCCGCTGCCGTGGGCTTGGCCTCCTCCATCAGCGAGTCATCGTCAATCTTGGAGGATGTGGACGCCGAAGTGGATGCCGATGCTGAGGCAGAGGCCAGCTTGTGGACACTGCGTTTGTGCTGCGCCAGCTCCATCTCCGAACTGTAGACAATCGAGCAGACCTCGCACTCAAACTGTTTGATAATCATCTCGTCCTTGATCGCCCTGCCGTGCACCTTGAACAGATGCACCTTTAGGCCCTTCTCGTAGGCAAACTCCGCGTTGCACAGCTTGCACTTGATGAACTGCACATTCTGCACCTGATGGTCGGTGAGCATGTGGTAGCGATAGGACTTCTTCGAGCTGAATCGTCGCTGGCAAATGCGGCAACGCATTCGCCGGAAGCGACGATCCGCCGCCTGGTCGAGACTTCGTCGGAAGACGGCCTGCTCCTGGGGCGTCTGGTTGGCCATTGCCGGTGGCACATTGGCCGGCGTCACTGGGGCCGAAACCGATGCTGTTGCCCCCAGTCCCACATCTGAATCTGCTGCTGGCGTTGCTGTTATGGTCAGCGATTTGGGTGTCATCCGATTGGCAGCCGCCAGAGCCGCATTCACTGCATTCGAGGCCGTGTAGTGGGAGCGCATATGATTGGACAGGCCAATGTTGTTGCTGAACACTGCATTGCAGATGGGGCACTCCTTCTGTTGGCTGGCCACGCCCACCAGGCTGCTATTGTTGCTGCTGTCGTCCAGGCGCATCTTCTTGGCCACGCTGCCCGGCTCCTCCTCTTCGTCATCTGGAAACGGGAGGAAAGCGGGTGGGTTAGTCTGGCACTTGCAACGGTCTCGTAGTGGAAGACAAGAACCGTAAATAGTCTTAAGGCATACCAGCAAAGCGAAGCCTTTAATTTAAATGAATTTACAATGAAGAGTGGACAATTTTAATGCAATGACGATGAGTTAAGTGACTTAGGGCCTTTAAACACATACTAATATTTCATCTGAGTTCGCTATTTCAGTTGAGATCTGTGCTCGTCTAAAGATGCGTTAAGTTATATCATCATATTAAGGGAAAATGTTAATAATCAACAAATACTAACTTAAATATGGCGACTTATATTGTAAACAAATTCGGGACAGGTTAAGTTATCAATATTTCACTTTAAGGCTCAACCAAGAAATATTATATATTCTACATAAATAAAAATAAAAATAATTTTAATAAAAGGAGTTTTTACAAGAAATATGTATAGGAACTTCAAAAGAAGTCTTTTTTAGTATCACAAAGAAAATAATTTCTGCTAGAGCATCTCACAATCCCGTGTTCCAGTTTTTTAAAAGGTTCGACGAGATCTACTTGATTTTCAACAATGTATAAAGTATAAAAGGGAAGAAACTGATTCAGATGTACATTTTTTTCCGTTTTAGTTTCAACATTTTTCAACAATTTTAAATTACATTTCAACACAAGGACAAAACCATAATTTTCGAGATGAAATGGGAAACAGGCAGAGCGGGGGACGTCTACAGTCTAAGCCTAATTACCGAGTGTCCCACCATTTGTTATCGACATCAGGTCCTTCATCACGTAGTCGTAGCGACCCGTGTAGACGTTTGGCGTGCTGCCGTCGGCCAACTTTACGGCATCCGCATTCACGATGTACTCGAAGCCGCCAGAGTGCCGGTTCTTGTCCACGCCGTGCACATTGATCATGTGCTCCCGCAGGTAGGAGATCCGGGGATAGCCCAGGCCGCATCGCACGCACTTGTAGGTCTCTGGCAGCTTGTTCGGATGCTTCGATTCCATGTGTCGCAGCACATTGTTGTAGTTGTTGTACTGCTGCCCGCAAATGGGGCAGACCTGCGGCATCCGGGAGAAGTACTGGGATTTGGGTGCGGACGCATCTCGACTCGCTGAGCTCTGCGCGGAGGCTGAGGCGCTGGCCAAGCCGCCGCCCCCGCCGCTGCCGCTGCCACCCACCTGGGCAACTCCCGCCAGTTTGGGTGTAGAGGTCAGCGGCGGAGCCGCACTGCTGCTACGCGACTCATCCGCCGAGGAGCCAACGCCAATGCCCAGGGCACCGAGCAGACTCCTCTTGCCCGGCGAATGCTCCATGCTGTTGCTCCTAGCCATGCCGCTTCCCGTAGTGGAGGCATTGTCGCTGCTCGCTCCGCCACCACCCACGCCGCCCAGGTGATCCTGGTAGACGTGATCGAGGAATCGCTGGTGCGTCTCCAGCTTTGCATCGCAGGTCATGCAGCGCAGCCGAACAATGCAGTCCATGTTGTTGTAGTGCCGCCGCCTGTCCACCGGATCGGCAAAGTCCAGTCCGCAGAAGCTGCACTGTATCGAGTTGTTGTCCTTGCGCTGGACATCCGCATGCTTGTCGTACACATGCGTTCGGAACTCGTGCTTGGTGCGGAATCCCTTGGGACAGAGCTTGCACTCGTACAGCTTGTTGACCAACAGCTCCTTGGCGCGCAGCTTCTCCGGCCGTTCGGAGCCTCCGCCGGGAGTGACGGCTTCTCCGCCGCCGCTCACTGTCACCGTCGGACTGGTCATGGTCACCACCACACCTGCGCCGGCATCGGCCACTGCCACAACTCCTCCGGTTGTTCCGACATCGTCGGCCACATCTTCAGCGACAGAGGGCACAACCACGGCCGTTGTCTTGCCACGCAGCGCATTCAAGACCCTAAAGAGATTGATGCAATTGCGCTTCTTCAGATGCGAGATGAACAGCGCCTTGGAGTCGTTCATCTTGAGGCAGTTGAAGCATAGGTTGCGCGGCAGCAGCGGATACTTCTTGCGCACGTGCGCCATGAAGTTCTTGTACGTGCTAAAGTACTTGCTGCAGCAGCGGCAGGTCATCGTCTGGTATTGCTCCAGGAACTCGTCGTTCTGCTCGATAAACTCCACCTTGTCGCGGGTGAGCAGCGGTCGGTACTGTTCGGGATTATCGTAGTCATAGCCGCCGCCCTCGCACTTGATGAACGCGTTCATCACCACCTGGCGGTACTTTTGCGTGGAAATATTTCCGCCCGCCGCACCCGCCGCTCGGTTGGCCTCTGCAGTGGCCGCCGCAGCCGCTGCCCGTTGGATCTCCAAGGCGGCAGCCAAGGCGGGCGTTGGCTTTGTGATGGGTGTGTTGTGGGGCGAGTCTGTGGACAGCTGGAACAGATTCGGGTGCAGATTCCGTTCGTGGCGACGGGCGTTGGCCCGGGTGGAGAACTGCAGACTGCAGGCCCGGCAGCTGGCCACCTTGGAATCCCCGGCAGCTGCCACATTGGCAACCGCATTCGGCGGCAGCGAGGCTGCAACGGAAGAGGCATTCACGCCATGTTGCGCAGTGTAGTCGTAGTCCGAGGCCTGCGGGGGTACAAATAAAAAATATAAATTAATATCGGTTTGGCAGAGAAGAAAGTTTGCTATAAATCTATTAGAATTATAAAGCCCTTCCTAAAGGCTGAGAATACAGTTTCATAATATACCCTATTTAAAAAAAAAACTTCATTTGAGTTTACGAAATGCCATACAGTTGGTATTTAAAACATGCTACTCAAGAATTCGCGAATTATTTTATTAATTTTTTTTTAAATTGATAAGAAGCTTGAAAGCTTTTAATATTACTAGCTTGAATATCATATAAATTTGTAAAGTAATAAATTCTCTTGATAAAATAAAACCTTTCTAGTAAAATTTTCCATCCTATAACTGGTATTTCTTGATGACTCACCGTCAGCGGCACATCGCCCTCGTGCTCGGAACGCTCTAGGAACATTGTGGGATCGACCATGTCATCGGACTCGTCTATTGACTTCATCTGGTAGTCGTCATCCGTGTCAATGGGCTCATCTTTGATGGGAATCGCAGGCAGTGGCTGCAGGGGATCCAACACATTCAACCAAAAACGAGAGAACAAACAGTGCCAGACGAAACGGAAATTAGTTTAAATCGAATATAGCACATCTAGTTCGTATATATCACAATGGTACAGAAAATCAATAACATCAATCATGGACGCTGCAGTGCGTCCATTGATACCCGTTAGCCAGAGAGCTATGGCCGTGTTGGTACTATACAAAATATTCCGAAACCGGCATAAACAAGACTAAACCCAGACGGACATTTGGTGATTTCGCATAATTTCGCATTCGGGATAACAGGTAGAAGAGCGCTGTACAGGATTAGGATGGGGGGGTTCGTTCACGCTTCGAATGCACGATACAATTACATTATAGGAGTAGCGTCTGAAAAAGCGCAGCTGCTGGGCGGCGCTCTGCAGCGTCACCGGCATAAGCAACGGAGCCGTGGACATGGATGCGGATGCAGTTGCAGTTGCAGATGCAGATGCAGTTGCACAGGCAGAGGCAGAGATAGAGGCCGTGGCTGAAACGACGTTGCCCGGCGGATTGGACGTGGTCGTCGCTGTGACCAGACCACCAGCCGCCTGCTGTTGCTGGACGTGACCGCTGCTGCTGCAACTTTGGCTGAAATCAAGCGGCAGCGTCAGCGACAAGCTCTCCATTCCACCCACACCAGACATCCCGGGCAGCAGTTCAGCAGCACCACCAGGCGGAGCAATCGATACGGGAGCCACTGGCGGCAATGGTGGCAGTGGAGGCACTGCTATATCCAAGGGCATAAACAGCTTCGGTTTGAATTTGCGCAATGATGGAGCCGGATTAGCCACCGGAACTGGACGCTGTGGACGATATTGCCGCTGGCGTCTATGCTGCTGCTGCTGCTGATGATGATGCTGTTGCTGCTGATGATGATGATGTGGCAACATTTGCTTGCCCCGCTGCTGATGTTGCTGCGAGTGCTGCTGCTGCTGCTGCTGTTGCTGGTGGTGGTGATGATGGTATCTGCGATATTGGTGAGATTGCTGGCGCTGCTGATGCTGCTGCTCCCGCTGCTGGGATGCAGATGTGGTGGCTGTGGACGTGGACGTGGAGGAGCAGCTTGCCGCCGCCGCCGCCGATGCTGGCACCTGCAAAAGAAGGGTCTGCAGCGATTGCTGCGCGCTGCTGGTCGTCGCCGTCATTCTGGCCGGTGGTTGCAGCTGCAACTGCTGCAATTGATGCTGTGGCAGCTGCTGCGGTTTAGGACTCACATAGACTGTTAGGGATTTGCGTTTCTTCAGCGAGTGTATGCCATCCAAAATGTTGGCGGCCGTCGCTGAGGCCGTTGGCGTCGCCTTCTCCGCTTCGAGCTCATTCTCCGATGGCTGTTGCTGCTGCTGATGCTGCTGGAGGTGATCGTAGGAGGAGCCTCCTCCGCTTCCTCCTCCTCCATTCTCCGCACTGTTTAGGTCCAGGTAGCTGAGGAGCTTGCTCTTGTTGACATCCAGCCACTGTCGCTGCTTTGTCTGCGAGCTAAAGCATCGGTTCTTGAAGCTCTGCCATGAGTTCAGGTAGCTGATGCAAGCGTGGCAAATCTGCAGCGACAGCCGATCCTGCGGTGTAATCTGAAAGTAGTTGTAAGAAAGTCCAATTAAATGTTTTGTTTGTATGACAAAGATGTTTAAAATGTTGAAAGAATTTTATATTAAAAGATTTAAAGCCCTTTAATTACTATATGTCTGGGATAAAAACTGTCTCTGTAAAAATTTGCAACATGAAACTGAAGAATTCGCGACTGGAGATCTTGCTATTGCAGAAACGAAAAAAATGCTTGGCCAGCAAAATCTTGAAAATTCTTTATGATTTAGTTAGTAATAGAAAATAAATAGTGGTTTTAGTGAAATCCCTCAGAGATAAATAGTTGAGTATAGTTTTAGCCAGGCTAACTGGTTTAATAATAATAATAACTAACAATTTGATTGTTTTTGTGGGTTGAGAAACCTTTATCTAGTGGAAAATTGGTTATTTAAAGTCGAAATAGCCCGGGACGTTTGCCCACTCTTTTGGTTTTCAGGCCTTTGATTGGAGTTTTGGGGGGGACAACAGTGGAGTTTGTGTGTCCAGCGATGCGGAGAATGCAGGTAGTGGTCCCCCGCTCGCAACTATCCTATTAATGTCAATGACCTGCTTATAATTATATGCAATACTGCCGCAGCATTCCATACCGCCCACCTCATCACCTTGCCAATTCATCCCACACCCCACCGCTCACCACTACAAACACAGAAGACTGCGCAAATCATATGAAATGTCCTGCTGGCTGATAACAGTGTGTGCGCATGTTTGTTTGTGTACGACTGTGTGTATCGTTTGAATTGCCAGCCTATGTAAGCCCGCCCTTCAGTATATACATATGTATGCTGGCACGTACGTAGGTATGTACTTATGTATGCCCGTCCTGGCCCAAACACACGGGTCGATTTCGCCGGGAGCACGGACTCAAAACATCTTGGCCGCCACAATATCTATTAAATCTCAATTATCAAAGCCGCGGTTTAGCAGTTTTATCGTAATCGCTTATCGAACCAGTTGCTGTATCTCAGCAATGGCCAGCGGATACATTGCAACATGGTCAGAACAGCTAGATTTACTGATCAAACTACAAAGTTAACAATCTAATACACTGTATATACATATAACATACATGGTATATACATATGTACCTATGCATACCCACTAAAGATAATTACTTTAATTGTTGCTCTTTGGTATCCGACTCATATTTCATTGAAAATAAGCATATAAACAGCGTTCTTCTTTTCAAAATAATGATATATCAGATCTTATAAAAGCCTCATGAGATCATAATATTTGAAAAATATGTAAGTAATAACCCATTTCATTGAAATTCGTCTTATATTCCATTGATAATTGGCATATAAACAGCATGTTATGTTATTAATAAACAATTTGAAACATATTTGCTTTGTGTAAACGAAATAATGTTGCCTTTCATATCTCCCAACATAGTACACTGATAATTATGACTGATAACTATGATCAGGAACTGCCTAAACAATTGAGATTACAAAAATTACATAACCCATCACAAAAACCAAACATTCTTCAAATCACGAGGGATATAAAAAAAAGTAAAAAGCACTTTGTATCTCCAGATCAATACTTTTCATAAGAAACACACCATGACTATGTACATATGCAAATATATATTATAATTGATTTAAAAAATTTTGATATATTTTATATACTGAAGATCAGAACTTTTCGAGAATACTTTCCTAAAAACTAAACTGAAAATAATACGTAGTATCCAATCATTTCAATTAGGATTTCATGACTATTTTCTTAGTGCAGTTTATAATTTTTGATGAGTTAGTGGATACACCTACTTTAAGTGGGCACTATATATTACTAATCCCAACCGATCTCTGGCTTTTAAACCATGGCTATAAACTGGCTTGAAAGCAGCTACTTTCTCAGCTCTGCTCCCGTTTTCATCACTTTAGTTGAATATCGATAGGAAGAACGGCGAGAATTAGCAATCAAAGAGGCGAATGGAAGTGATCAAAACAAACGAAGAAAATGTTTTGTTTTGCATTTGTCTTTTCGACTTGAGCTATGTGTGCATGCATGTTTGTTTATGTGTGTGTTGGTGTTTGCGTGTGTGTGCTAGTGTGTTTAATTTAATAGTCCAAGTCTTGTACTTGTTGTTGTTGTTATTGTTGTTGCTGGCTGGATTTGCATTGTTGTGCTATTGTAATTGAAACCCCAGGATATTAAAGCCCGGAGGTCCTTAAAGCACACACACTCACACACACGCACGGATGGACAAACACACAAGTACCCGCCTCCAATTTTGGGCCTGCATATATATATGGATGCATATATGTACTGCCGTATCCTTATGTACAATCCGAATCCCACACTCCCAGTGGAGGATTTCGAGAGCTCCAACTCCAACTCCAACTGCAATGCTCAACTCCATTCCGTTTCGATAATATGTTGTTCATTCACCTCACCCAAACCAGCGTTTCCCCCATGGCCGCCATCTTTCCCCGGTGCAATTGGATACAGGATACAAGGATTTCCATGTTCCGCGGCCTGCACTTTAATGTGGCAACATCGGAACCCCATTTTGGGGGTTTGGGCTTATCCATCCGCACATTATAGATAATACGCAATAAGGTGAGATTTTAGAAAGTCGCAAAATGAAGGGCAGGAGGTGGGTAAATACATACATTCTTGTATACATAGTGGACATAGTGGTGTATATAAGGCTGAAAGACTTGTGGCAGCTGCAGATTCCACCAGCTGCCGCCTTCGTTTTCCGCTGGCCAGGCCACCAGGTGCAATAATCACCAGCCATGGACCATTCCCATACCCATTCCCATTCCCACTCCCGTTACCATTCCGTCTCCCCGCTGCCTCTGCTCCTTCGTGGAACAAGTTCTTCTCCTTTTTGTGTCCTTATTCGTTCCAAACCCATGCTGTTCGCATATATATATAAATAAATTTGCGTCTGTGTGTGTTTGTGTGTGGGCAAGAGAGAGAGCATCCTGTCCTGTCAGTTCCACGCACAAAGTACTGAAGACGTAGAAATAACCAAAAAGTAACCCTCATATTTAGCAGACCGGAGATCTTGAGGGCAGCAACAACATGGCCTGGCACAGCAGGAGCAGGAGCAGGAGCAGGACGAAGGCGATGACGAAGGGCAGGACAAAGAGGAGCAGGGAGTCGCAGTTCCTTTGAAATATTGAATTTCGTCGCAGGCAGAACAAAATAAAAACACAAGTGCAACAGGGTCCACCCTAGGACTTCCAAACAGCTGTTATCGTTCAAGCGGAGATCAATGCGAGTTATCGATTAAGCGACAAGTTTAAAGGGTGGGGGCGAAAGGGGGTTATAAATACATATTAACAAAGATGCTTTAAAGTCGGGGAAATCAATTGTAATGTTGCAATCTAGCAATAAAGTTAGTTTTCAGTTAAATGTTTACAATTTGGAAGGAGTAGAGTCATGTTTGAAACTTTATAATAATTTAAAGGATTAAAGAATCTTTTAAATGAAGTTTATGATATTGATAATAACGATATAAAATTCCATCCTAAACATTATAGTCCTGTATTTATCTGGATGACTTTTGTTATATGCATTTTTCATTTAGGACATTAGCTCTTATCATTACCTTCATGAGTCCAATTTTAATATCTTACATTTGATGATGTTAAGAATTTCCTATAACCCTAAAGTTTATTTATTTATCTATCTAATCAATTCCCTTATCACCATCATTGTAATCCCGACTTAAGCACTTGGTACATACATTATATATCATCTTTGATCATCTCTTTTGCAAAATCTATTCCCTTTCGGGATAAACAGAGACTCATCCTTGGGCATTTATGTATCCCTAAAGTGTGTATCCTTGTGCTCTCGAAATCCCTGGCAACCTATTCCATCCAGCCCTCGTCCGCCATCTTGGATGAGCCAGAGTGGAAATGTTGCGGATGCTTCGGCTGCTTCTCTCTGTTCCGTTGTGGGCTTCCTCCCTGCCCTGCTCCTCCCTGTCCTGTCCTGCTCCTCCCCTCTTCGAATCCCTCTTTTATCGGCTTGTCATCTCGTCACGTCGCTTCACCATCGTCGTAGTCGTCGTCGTCGCATTTTTTGGCCAAGGGGAGAAAGTTAGTCCACCTGGGGACCCAAGAGCCACAAAATGGAGACGACGACGACGACGCTGCTGGCTGTTGTTGCTGGAAATTCGATGCGGGCCAAAAGGAAGGAGCCGACCAAAGAAGAAGCAGCAGCAGCAGCAGAAAGGCAAAAGGCACAAATATATCGACATCCCACCAGGTAATCTGGTGTGCCTGTGCCTGAGCCTCTGCCTGTGCCTGTGCCCAAGGTGAAACCACTCGAATTTTGTGCCCGGTTTTGGGTCTCCGCCGCTGTCCGCCTGCTGTTTTCCCGCTGTCCGCTAACCCCTGCTCCTCCTCTATCCATACCCATGCCCATGCCCATGCCGTTGCCCATACCCATGTCCATTCCCATACCCATTCCCATGCCCATTCCCATTCCCGTTTCCCGGTCTCTTTTGCCTGTGTCTTTGTCTTCTACCTCCGTCTGTGTGTGCGTCCCCTGTATGGGTGTGTGCGTGTATGCGAGCATGTGGTCCGCCTCCAGATAACGAGAACGGAGCAAGAGGAAGAGCAAGAGCAAGAGAAGCAGTTGAGCTAGCGATGACGCCAACCAGCGTGTTGTTGTTGTTGTATATGGTCGGTTGGCTGGTTGGTGTACAACACACACAGATATGTATATGTATATGTATACACCTCTGTCGGAGGCAACTGGCGGGCCAGTGGGTGTGTGTGTGTGTGTGCAGAGCAATTGCCATGAAATCGAATCGAAGCCCAGGGAAAGAACAGAGAACCGAGAATCGAGGAGAACCGAACCGAGCACCATTAGACCCAGACGACGACGACGACGACCACGACGTCGACGTGATGGCGACGTCCATTGGGGGCACCAAAGCACCAAGCACACGCAGCAGCGGCGTGGCGGATATGGGATACTGGGATATACACATAGATGCCGGGGGAACTCGACAGGAAAACAAAAAACATATATAGAGCCCAGAAAGAATCAATAAACGAAGCTAGCGAAGCCGCATGGGGGAGCACAGTCCAAGTCCTCCTCCGCCTCCGCCTCCGCCTCCACCACTTCCACTTCCTCTTCCATGTCCTCCTCCTCGTCGTCCTCCTCCTCTTCCTCATCCTGTTCCCCCAAAGGATGCGCGCGCGCAAAGAGAGAGCGGAGCAGAGAGCAACTGCTGCCCTCCAAGTGAAATTCCTTGAAAAAGGTACTACACAAGCCAAAAGCAAAATGGATGTGTAATTGGCCTGGGTTTTTGGGTTTTCGGTTTCGGTTTTTGGGTTTTCTGGCCTGGAATCTCTGAATCTCAATCTGAATCTCTGTTGCCCGCCGCACACACACACACACTCAGGCACGCAGAAGCGTATGCACACATACAAGGGCAAAGACGACGACGGCGCGCTCATCGGACTTTATGCTTTGTGCTGGCCATTCGCAGCTGCTCTCGCCCGCTGGGAAGAGGCGAACGAGAAGAGGAGGAGGAGGCGGCGGAGGAGAAGGAGGAGCCAGCGGAGCAGGCAGTAGATTTTTGGAAAGGAAGCAGGATCAGTTCTAACCTCAAAGCGGGAAGGCAGGCAAGCCAATGGAAAGGAATAGAATCGAATCAAATCGAATGGAAGGAAACGGAATGGAATGAAAGGAGAAGGAGATGGAGGAGGAGTAGCAAAAGTGGAGAGTTCAAGTTTGATTATGAGCAAAAGATTGCGGTCGTGATTGGATTACAGCCAGACCACCGCCACCGCCACTGCTACTCCTCCTCTTCCTTTTCCTCTTCCTCTTCCATTCCCACTGCATCGTGACTTGGCAGTGGAAACACTGGAAACCCAAAAAGCGGACCATGCGGCTGGCCACACACCCATACTCGCGCACAGCGAAGAGCCAGAAGTGGAAGAGGAGGAGATGGTGGAGGTGGAGGAGATGGCGATGGTGGAGAAGGAGGAGGCGGGGTTCGGTTTGGCTGGTTCGTTTCGTTCGTTTTCAGTTTTCCCCCCAGCTCTTCCTCTTATTTTTTGGTGGCCATCATCATCATCTGCTGGTGCTTGCACAATCCAACGTCACTGCCTCTGCCCCGGGGGCCCACATTGGCTACACTTCATCGTCATCGTCATCGGCCAGCGTCATCCGTAACCTCACTTTTCGGGCCTCCAAAGAGCGTCCCGTCCAACGGGTGTGGCCATCGCCTCATCCTTCCAACTGGCCAACTGGATGTGTGTATAACTGTTAATGGTGTCCAACCACCGGAGTGCCCAAGAGAGCGTCCGTCCAGAGAGAGAGCGCCGCCGGACGCTCGGGGAATCGGAATCGAAATGGGAATCGTTATGGGAATGGAAATGCCCGGGATGACGACACAGCCGGATGGATGGATGCAGTATGTACCCCATTGGAGCCAGCGCACTCACCTTGATGCCGACGCAGTTGTGGATCTTGGTGGACAGCGGCTCCTTGTCCGCCGCATAGCTATTGATGATCGAGATGCATTCGGTTTGCGGGGCAATGCACAGGCGACAGCAGTTTTGTCGCGCCGACCGCTCGCCTTTGGTTGCAGCTGGTGTGGCCCCAGTTGCTTCAGGGGATGCGGTTCCAGTTACAGTGCCCGCTCCCGTTCCAGTTACCGCTGCCGTTCCAGGCGTTGCTGTGGCCTCCAGTGCTGCTACTGCTGCTGCTGTTGTTGTTGCTGTTGCTGCTGCTGTTGCCGTCGTTGCCGCCGCAGCGTCGCACATTTTGTCGCTTTGTATTCGCTAGTCGCCTCCTCTTTCGCTTCTTGCTTCTTTTGTTTTTTTGCACGTTTTCACTTTTGTTTCGGTCTGCGTCCGTTCGCAATCGTTCCACACACCATCCACCACTATCCGCTCTCCGTCGCCGTCGACCACGCCGCCCGCGTCACCCACTTTCCGCACATTGTTCGCACTTGGTTCGCTCGCCCGATCCTGTCCAGGGCCTTACTTTGCTTTGCTTTTGCTTTTTCTTTCCGCCTCTATACTCTCTCCCTTCGCTTTCGTTTGGTGTGGGCTTGGGCTTGGGTTTGTTTGGAACGAGGAGTCGCACTGGAAAAAAATTGAACTGCGGATACTGCGGATCTGCGACGTGCTCCGCCGGGGCTGGAAAACAGTTTTGATTGTAATTGTATGGTGGTAAGCAGTGCGAGGCGTCGGAGGCAGTGTGACCTACCTAGAGGAAAATACTTTTAATACCAGATTTATTTCTTGGAATATATCGAAAATTGCGCCGCTACATGCACTAACGCCATATTCTCACTGCGGATTCTGCGCAGTTAACGATCTCACTCCAGTTTCCCTGCAATTTTCACCAAGTTCAACTTGAGTTGCTGCGCCATGGTACAAGAAACACTGACTTCAGCTCTTGCTCACCACACAAATGTCACTCAAATGTTAACTTTTTACAGAACCACTCAATCGCTGCAGGACTTGAATTTCGCGGGTCTGGGAAACAGACTTAAAAAAAATAAGTATCGTGCGCCGAAAAACGATATCGATTGGTTATCGCAACGAGTAAAAATATTAGATCAGCCGAAAATCTAACAAATCGTCATTAAATGGAAATTATTTCCCATAATAAATTGTTAAAAAACCAACAATGGTTCCTGTTAAATGTTCGAACAGCTGTGCCTAGTTGTCATTCTTTCCTGAAGTTAAAATATGTAATATGAAATAGAGGTATACTTTCTCCTGGAAATACCCTGAATATTTTTGAAATAAATAAGCAATGGGGCGGAACTTTGAAAAATACATTAGAATTCGATTGAGAAGTCAAATTTTATTTTGAGGATATTATTTTTAGTATTCTACTTGGTTGTTGGAGACGGGTGTGAGGGAAAGCCGTGAAACTATTTGCTTAAACATTTTTAGTTACCCATGAAGATAAAGCTGCTGAGACATTTAATAGAGCTCTTAGTGTCGATTAACCTAATCGGTCAAAAGTTAAAATATTAATATACAACCTAGTATTTATCAATGCAAAAAAATATATTCTGGCAGGTATTTTTCTAGTGCGTCTGACTGGTCACACTGTAAAAGTAGCAGTTACCGAGTTCGATGTTCGATGTTTCGACATCGATATTTTATATAGTCACTGGAATATGATATCTAATCGATATTTTTGTTCCATAAGTTTTTAGAAATCGCATTTTTCTGTAAAAGGTAGGCAGTGCATTAAGCCTTTATTTATTAGCCCAAGTTCTTCATTATTCAAAGTCATTCTTATAAAAACCTCAGTAGAGTAAGGTCGTGTCTTTTGTCGTACATTTTTGTAAGTTTGCGGTATCAAATTTGTTTCAATCAATTTTATCATCTGTTTTTTTTTTTACATAGAAATTTGCCGGTCTGAAATTTCTGGGTGTTTCTCTGAGAAATCATATTTCGTCGTACATTTTTGTAAGCTTCCAATTTTTTTTTTTACTTATTTAAGAATTTTGCTTACAAATTTTATTTGTTTTTTGTTTAGAAACTTACCGGTCAAGGATTCCATTTCTGGGACGATGATTCCCTGCAGACTTTACGGACAGAAGTAGATAAAGTTGAAGGGTCAGCGGTTTTTATGATGGCATCAGCAACAATTTACAACCAATCTGCCCAAAAAGACGACAGAGGAGGGATGTGAAGAAGAATTCGATGCTTCTAGAACTCGAAGGAAGTGCCGACGTCATTGCAGCCTGCTTAGGTGGTCTTACCGGGGTGGGGATATCCGGGAGATCTGACCTATGTGATCCATGGGATCCACATGGGTCTAATCTCACGGATTATCATCATTCCGGTAAGATCATCTTCGCAATCCATCAATTGCAAATACTCTACCGCAGTAAACTGGCTGAAGAAAATGGAAGCCACATCCTGGAATTGCCACTGGTTGCGGTATAAACACAATATCAACGTCTTTCAGAGGAAATCATTCCTTCTCCAGTATAATAAATCTAACTAATGTGAAATTTCTGCTTTGTTTTATTATTATAACACAAAATAAACGTCTTTCAGAGGAAATCATTCCTTCTCCAGAATAATAAATGTAACTAATGAGAAATTTCTGATTTATGTTTTATTATTATAACACAAAATAAAAGTCTTTCAGATGAAATCATTCATTCTCCAGAATAATAAATGTAACTAATGAGAAATTTCTGATTTATGTTTTATTATTATAACACAATGTCGAAGAGGAAATCATTCATTCTCCAGTATGTATATTAACATAACTAATCGAAAAATTCTGCTTTATGTCTTATTATTATTATAATGCACCGGAGATTCGACAATTAATGTTTTTAAAATCCCAGGCGCACTTTATTTAAATTTGGCGGGTAAACGGCAGAGTAACTTTAGGGTGACCATAAAACCACCCTTGCCAGACAGTTGTTCAACAAGGGAACAAGGTGGCAGCCCGCCAGCTGACCCCACTGTGTGTTTTTGTTATTGTAATTTTATCTTTTTTCCCTCGTTGATTTTCTTAATTATTTTGGTTAATTCACCTGCAGTTAATTGGGCACGCTAATCGCTAATCGTAAGTAGGCAACCACAAGTTGCACGGTGTTGCAAAGTAGCTGCAACTTCGGCTAATTTGCACAATGATAATGGCCTTGACATAGAAGAGGGGCAATAACACAATTGATGAACGCAGCACAAAAAGGAAACAAAAACCGGTCCAACAACAACAACAGCAAGCGCTTTTTGCTTTCCCTTTGCACTGCAATTCTGCTTTTGAATGTAACGGAACTTTGACTTTTTTGTTTTGTTTACAAATTCGTTATTTACTTTTTACATTTCAATGTAAAATGGAATATTTTAAAATAAGAAATACCTACATACATATAAAAAATGATTTAAATTGTATTCCAATTTAGGTATTCATTAAAATATCCCTTTATAATAACTCTTCGTTATCTTTACGTAGATCTAATTTACCATCTAAATTTTTTTTTTAATTTTTGAGATAAAAAAACACCTGAAAATAGCTTCTTTTTGTTTATTTATTTTAGAAAAAATCTTCCTCTTTGTTATTCCTTATTTTCCATATTTTCTTAAGTACATTTATTATTATTTATTGGTTTTCTAGGATACTTTTGATGTATCAATTCTGGAAAAACACCAGTTTTAGCAAGTTTTCGATCTAGGATTCCAGAACAACATTTTTCAGATTCATAATGAGGTTTACAATATATTATTATAAAAATAAAAATCTGAAATATTTAAATATTTTAACTCCAAGGATCGTAGGAACAATCGACTCAAATAAGATACAATTAGTTTGTTTTAAAGATAGTATTTACATCTCATCAGAAATGTTCTTTAAGTAATAATATATGTTGTCTTTAACTTTCTAATTATATCATTAATGCACAGAGTGGAAAATAAAAATATATATTACTTATAATAATAAAATGCTTGATTTTAATAATATTATTATTATATATATTATATAATAACAATATTATTAAAATCAAGCATTTTAAAAACATAATGAAAATGGATAGGAAATTCAAAGAGAATCACTATGGAATTTTCCTTTTCCGCGTGTGGCTGTCCTAAGTGGGTGATTTTTTGATTAAAAAAACAGATCAATAATCATTATTTACAGTCTCTGTTCTCAAATCAGGTTAATTTTTAAAACTTATTGATGGAAACTATAGTCTGTAAATAACCTTATACAACAAATAATTTGAATGCAATTCCCAAAAGAGGCTTAAAAAAGATAAGAGTTTGATGTTTTTGAGATAATCTCTTAAAATTTTGGGTATACTGTATAGAGAGGACCGAGACTTGGCGTCGAACCTATCGAATTTGGATTGTAAGAGGTCGTACATTCCTTATCGATGGACAGGCGAGCAAATAAGCCCATAAATCTTGAAGCAATTAATTAAATAGCAATTTAAATTTAAAGTTGCGATGGAAATAGAAAAGCCCAGTCAGGGGCCAACTGGGGTGACCACCGTCTGCCGATAAGGGGACCACACTTTCGCCCCGAGATTCGGATTGGGATTCGGGCGCAGTCATGGTTCGCAATTCCCCCCTCAACCCCAGATCCCACTTTCTGGGTGCAAAGAGCAGTGAAAGATGCGCCATAAATAACCACTGGAGGTCATGTGGCCAGTGATATCAGCTCTTTCATGGAGATATCCACTTATAGAGCCATCCTTGTGCATCCCAGCCACAGTGGCTCGGATGCGATTTATCGCCACAAGTGTGCAACTTATCTGCGGCCCAGCGGAAACATAGAAAGTCGCTAAAAAGTATCAAACAAAAGTATACATTATAAGAAATTATATTATAAATGTTTTAAAATGTATTTTATCGCTAGGCGCCCACACGACACGCCCACTCCTGTGCAAATTGCACATAATATTGCAAAATCTGCTACACTTTCTTAACCCCATAACGCCGTCTGGGGTTTTAAATACCCAAGAAAGAACTTTTAGACTCGGGGGTTTTTATAACAAAATAAACCGCGAATTTCTTAAAACAAGATAGACCAAGTATACATTTTTATTGGTTTTAACCATTTAAAATGCACTTACGATGCATTTTTCAACCAAAACGATTCAGCGAATTCTTCAGAGCCAGGGGAACTACATTAACAGTTTACTTGTGACATCGGCATCGTGACGAGAAGGTCTGAAGTATGCATGATGATTTATGATCAGTAATTCAATTTAAGTAAACAAGGCAAGATATTTTCCAAACATTTCGAAAAAAAATAATGGATATTTTATTCATAAAATGGGATTTAAATTTCATAGGTATCAAATATATATATAATATATTTATATAGTTCTTCACATATTTGTTGATCAACATAAATTCAGGTTTAAAATATTTATTCTGTGAATTGTTAATCGGTATTTAAAAACCTGACTCAATCAAGCCCTGATCGATGAAAAAAAAAATGCGGAAAAGTGTCGAAGTGGTTTTTATACTTTGAAGGCATTTTTGTTTACATTTTAAAGTAAAACCTACTTTTATTTTAGCAAGCCAACGAGTAAACCTCCCTAAGAATTATTTAAAAACCTTTCCATTATTTGCAGAATCCTTTTAATTTTCAGTCATTGTTTTATTTCTGATACAAAACCTTAGGATTCAGAAAATGAGTAATCATGATTCAGAAAATTTGACCTTTAACTCCTGTTTGTTTTTTAAAATATAACATTAAATTTGGTCAGCGGGTTAATTGGGCTGTTGCCGGCTTGTGTTATCAAGGCGGGTTATCCAGCCCTCCAATTGCGCTCTTATCAGTCGCCGGGGTACTAGGTCTTGGCGAGATTGCCTGTCACGCCCGTGCCGGCTGGGGTATATAAGATTTGGGCGGACCGGGTAGAATTCAGTTTGAACGCGTTACTCGACGAGCCGTGTCCAAGGATTCTCATTCTCAGTTGCCATATACTGCAAATACTTCTTCGAAGGTAGGTCCTCCAGGAAGCCTGTCCCTATTTTTTTCAAGTGACAAAGTGATTTCTGAACAAAGTTTACCCATGGTCGATGATTTAATTAAATGAAATTGGAACCAAAATTCATTAAGAAAATAAACAATAAAATCCTTATAAAAATAAAACCCTTTAGAAATTGAAATAATGCTGAATATTATAATAATGGTTGTACAAAGTGATAAAAAGTGTTTTAATATTTATTCAAATATTGAGACATCCTTCGAAAGCCTTTAATTTAATTTTTCAAAAAAGAATTTTTTTTTATTAAATTGCTAATTTTGAGTTAGGTTTCATCAAAAATTATTTTCAAATATTAAAGTACTTACAAATAACAGATAAAAACAGTTTTGATTTAAAAAAGAAATTGTTAAATTAAAAAAAACTTCAAACTAAGTACATTTTAAAGAAAGTTTGTTTTCGCGTACGCATGATATACAAAAAATAGGTTTTAAACTTAAAAACCTGGAAATTCAGAGTTCAAAACCTACTTTTAGTTTAACATGCGAACGAGAAAACGAGCATAAATATTTTTTATAAAACTTAAAAAGTTTGTCTGTCAAAGGCTTAATAATTGAAAAGTATTATTCCTGTTAAAATTGTATATTTTGGACTTCAAAAGAAAATCGTGAGCTTTAGATTTTACCCTGACCACACCCACTGTGCCATTTACATGTGGCTGATAACAGGAGTCCCCGCCACAAAACATAAACATCTCTTGGAGGTTTCAACTTGACCAATTCAATAACACCAGCAGCCGTCGCTGCGACAACAAAAGTCAATTAAAAGCCCACAACAAACGATGCTAAATGGCAAGCGTAATCAAAGTTAAAAGTTAATCGTTCCTTTTGTTTTTTTCTGTTGCTTCTGCTGAGTAAGTGAAGGGCATGACGTCACAGAGCACAGCTGCATTGCACAGTGGTACATTTTACCAAACTAGCTTCAAAAAAATTGAAAGTGTCTCGTTTTTCAAGTGACTTGTAAAAAAAGAAATGTTAGGCAATGAATTTAATTTGTATTACTGAAAAAATACGTTGAAAAATTCGAACACCTCATAAAATTTAACAATTTTTTCTTTTTTCTAAAAAAAATATTTTTATAACCTGAAAAATTAGTACAACCAAATATAATACTTCACACTCTTGATATAATAATGCCACAATTAAGGATAAGTATTCTAGTAAAACAGAAATCATAACAAAAAATCTTATAAAATCACTAATAATAAAAAATTCCAAACAAGGAAACGAACTCTTGTCAAAAGAAAACACCACTGTGCACCTTCGGTCAGTGGAAAAATTGATCTCAAAACATGGAAATGAAAATCAATAAATAATCTCTCGTTTCGTTTGTGTTCCGCTTGCGATGATGCTGGTTCTCAGTTAATGTAATGTCAAGCCCCTGGTTTGGAGGTAATAAAAGCCTCTCCCGCCGACTGCTTTAGCTTCAGTTTTGAGTCGGAACCCCAGAAAGCCAGATCGCGCGATGTTTAAACCGTCCTTACTGATTCCAGTGCTTATAGCGTGCATCTTTGGACTAACGGTAGAGGATCTATAACTACGTAGTGCCCATTATCAGTGACTTAAAATACCCCTCAATATTTAGGACACATAAAGTTAATGGTTAAAAGCATCCTTTTTTCTAAGGATATAGTGTTTTTGGTTTCAAATCGAACTAGAAAAACTGTTCAGAGTAGCTTTGATAATAATCGAACTCTTAAAATTGTTCGGAGTATTTTTGATAATACAATTCAATATTATCTCTGTGAAAAATAATCCCAATGGTCATTTACTTGTCATAAATGTGTCATTTTGTTTTTTATAATAATTACTCCCTACTCGAAAATTAAAATGCCAAATTAAGCAATTTTCGCTAAAGGGTTACAGTCTACTGCTCAGACTAATTTTTTTAATCAAAACTTAGATTTTTAATATAAAAATTGGTTTTTAAACCTTTATTACCTCATTATCACACAAAATTATCATAGACTTTTGGGTATCTATAAAAAAAATATATATAAATGGATTCTACCATTTCACACGTCCATTTCTAATAGAAACGAATACTTTTTTTAATGTAGGTGATAATAATAACTCTTAGAGACCTCAATTAGCTATAGCTTATACTGGATACTATTTCGTAAAGGTTTCGTTTTTACTAAACACTTGTTATATAAATAACTATAATGAATTTGATGCATTGTAATAGGTATGGTAATCGAAATTCCTCTTTCCCATTCCATAAAGATGTCCTACAAGGTTGAACCACTACCCGATTCCTACGCCGGCCTGGGCGAGGGTCCCCACTGGGATGTGGCCAGGCAGAGCCTGTACTACGTCGACCTGGAGGCCGGCAGCCTGCTGCGCTACGACTTTGCCCAGAACAAGGTCTACAAGACGAAGATCGAGGGCGAGACCCTGGCCGGATTCGTGCTGCCGGTGGAGGGACGTCCCAACGAGTTCGCCGTGGGCTGTGGCCGCCGCGTGGTGATCGTCAACTGGGACGGAGTGTCCCCCACCGCCAAGGTGGTGAGCACCCTGTTCGAGGTGCAGCCGCTGATGGACAAGAACCGTCTGAACGACGCCAAGGTGGATCCTCGTGGTCGCTTCTTTGGCGGCACCATGCGCTACATTGGCGACGAATTCGAGTTCCGCCACGGAGAGCTGTACCGCTGGGAGGCCGGCGGCCAGGTTTCGGTGATCAAGGGCGATGTGGGCATCTCCAACGGCCTCGCCTGGGACGAGAAGGCCAAGAAGTTCTACTACATCGACACCACCGACTACGAGGTGAAGTCCTACGACTACGACTTCAACACCGGCGTGGCCACCAATCCCAAGGTGATCTTCAACCTGCGCAAGAACAGCCCCAAGGATCATCTGCTGCCCGATGGTCTGACCATCGACACCGAGGGCAACCTGTATGTGGCCACCTTCAACGGAGCCACCATCTTCAAGATTAACCCCAAGTAAGAGCTAGATTGTTGATACTATTGTATTGTGATAGATTTTGAACCCTATTTAAATGGGTTCTGGTATCTTTTGTTTAATGTTTCTGAGTTATATTTTCTTAAGTCCTTAAAACATGTTTCTCTTGCTCCAACTCTAATATTTTTACATTGATCCATTGCAGCACTGGCAAGGTCCTTCTGGAGATCAAGTTCCCCACCAAGCAGATCACTTCCGCCGCCTTCGGTGGCCCCAACTTGGACATCCTGTTCGTGACCACCGCCGCCAAGTTCGATCAGCCTGCTCCTGCTGGCACCACCTACAAGGTGACTGGCCTGAATGCCACCGGTTACCCCGGCGTCAACCTGAAGGTCTAGGAGCTGCAATCTCTATCCTCAGCACGCAATATAATGTACCAATCGAATCCAAGTGCAATTATATGTTATACTCTTTAAAGTTGTAACTCTCATCTTTTGTTATTTTTATTTGGAAGGAAGGAGTTAACTTGTTTACAAAACTTGGGGAAATAAGATACACATTTCTCAATTGGAGATTTCAATGAGAATTTTCTATTTCCCTATTAAGACACAAGTTTTTGGATCATATATACTAGTTTAAAAGGGGTTAAAATTCGGAATAATTTAAATTGGTTACACTTAATTATTTTAAATACACATTTTATTATACCCGTTACTCGTAGAGTAAAAGGGTATACTAGATTCGTCGGAAAGTATGTAACAGGCAGAAGGAAGCGTTTCCGACCCCATAAAGTATATATGTATATTCTTGATCAAAATCACTAGCCGAGTCGATCTAGCCATGTCCGTCTGTCCGTATGAACGCTGAGATCTCGGAAACTATGAGAGTTACAATACTGGGATTAGGAACGCAGATTCCTGAGATTCCTGCGCAGCGCAAGTTTGTTTCAGTAGAGTGCCACGCCCACTCTAACGCCCACAAACCGCCCAAAACTGTGGCTCCTACAGTTTTGATGCTAGAATAAAAATTTTAACTGAAATGTAATGTTCTCATCAATACCTATCGATTGACCCAAAAAAAAAATTTGCCACGCCCACCCTAACGCCCATAAACCGCCCACAAACTTCAAAAAATCGTTAATATGAACGTGGATATCTCGGAAACTATCAAAGATAGAGAATTGGGATTTCAGATTTAGATTCCGTAGCCTTATACGCAGCGCAAGTTTGTTACGCGAATATGCCACGCCCACTCTAACGCCCACAAACCGCGAAAACCTGTGACGCCCACAATTATTATGCTAGATAAAAAATTTTAACTGAAATGTATTGGTCTCGTCAATTAGTCCGCATTTTAATCTCGCTTTGCTACTTGCATTTCTTTATTTAGCTGAGTAACGGGTATCTTATAGTCGAGGTACTCGACTATAGCGTTCTTCCTTGTTTTTTTTTATTTTATATAAAGCTAACTTAAGGTTAAAAATATATTCCTAAGGCCTTAAGCTCGTTGAGGGTTAAAATCCAAACTATTTGCAGAAGTTAAATGAGTTTTGAGTAAAAATAAATAAATTAGAGTTGAGGTAAGTGAATTGTTCTGCTGACGCTTTTTTACAGCAACGAACTTAATGCTTTTTCTAGGTTAAGGACTGTTTTCTCATCCGCATGTTAAACTAAGAGATGGTTTTAAACTACACATTTCATACGATTTGAAGTTTAATATCTATTTTTTCAGACAAGTAAAGGAGCCTTATAATGTATAATTTTAATCTGGTAACTAATGTGTTTTAACAAGTAAACCTAGAGTTATATTACAATTGATAAGATGGTTATTCGCAAGAACATAGGTTAAAATTGACAAATGAAGTTAAGAGGTGGTGAAAATTATTAAAAAATTATCTAAGCATGTACAATTCATGGGCTTATCAGAAGCACACACTCGCTCCGTAATCATCTCGCGATCTGGTGGTCACTTGGAGGACACAATATGCTTCTTAGTTAATCAGAGGTTATACACAATCGTTTACTTATCTAGTGGGGTGGCCTAAACCAAGAGATAGCGGGGCGTTTAAAATCAGTTGGTGGCAATGGATCGTCCATTCACTCATCCGACTCTGAACCGGATTCGGAATCGTCGTCGTCGCTGCCGGCGGAGCGGTTCAATCGCAGCATCTCCTGGAACTCGTGCACCCGGATCTTCTCCGGCACGATCTGCAGCAGGAACTCGAGGTTCTTGCTCTTGTTGACCAGCTGCGAGAGGTGCTCGTACTTTAGGGTTTCGCTGTTTTTCTGCGGAAATGCATCCACATATGCCTCTCCCGCCAAATGCCGCACGAACAGCTCCGTGCACTTGGTCATCAGGAAGAGCACTTCGTTGGTGATCAGCCCCGTGTCCATGGAGCTCTTCATGATGGTCCGCACCCGGCTGAGGGGCAGGACGGTCTCGGCGTTGGGGGCGCGCTCCACGGGCGATTGGATCTTGGGTTCGCCCATTGTTTTGATTTTCGGTTAGTTTGGCTTGGGTTTTGGAACTAAGCTATCGCTATCGATAATATAAATGGCATGGCCAGCTGTTTATCGCATTGTTAACAATCGAAAACAAAGAAGAAGACAGTGTGCCCGCCGCTTGGGTTGCCAAGCCATACCGATAGTACTCGTAACGGTATTATTTTAATTTATTACTTATCGCTTAAGTTTAATTTTAAATTTAATTTTGAATCTTTTAATGTTGCGCCTTTGCGTTTAACAATTAATATACAAATTTACAAACGACTCTGCTCTCGCTTTATATTTATATTTCATATTTAAAGTTCTTTTAATTTAGATTCTGGAATTAGTCAGACTTTTATTTCATTTTTATTTTCAAATGATTATTATGCTTTTTTTAGTATTGGTTTAAGGCACTTTGGGGACAATATTAAACAATATTGTTTGCTTTTAAATTTTTGCTAATTCTGACCTATTGAAAAAGAGCTTCATTTTGCACATCATAACGAAAAATCAAAGTAGTCTTTTATAACGAATGACAAGATGAAACATTGCTAGGCCAGGATAAATAAATTTTAACGTTTAGAGCATATTACATTCATCCAAAAACTATATATTCAAAATAAGTTCGTTAAATCACAACATTTTGGAGAGCCGGTAAGTAGTTTACGCTTGGGAGTTGCCACCCCCCGCGAATCGATGAATATCGATGCCTATCGCTGCGCGGCATGTGCAACACTGCGTTTTTCTGCTGCCCCCTTTTGGCTGTTGTTTCGTGTGTTGACCAATAAATTTTTCGCATATTTTCTCAACTTTTCAATTACCGAACCGCAAGTGGCGCCAACGCACACCGTCGAAGGCCGGCTAACCGAGTAACCAGCGAGTTTTTGGCCAAGTCAAGTGGATCAACACGAGCAGCAGGACCAGGATCTCGACCAGATCGCAAGGAAGCGCGACATTTGCATTGCAGCGGTTCAAGTGAAAGCGAGAGAGCGACACGGGCAGACGGCGCGAGAGAGACAGAGAGAGTGCGAGCGAGAGAGCCAGTGAAATCCTTTCCAGAAATCGGGGAATCCTTGGCCAGGCAGCTGCTCCATCCACTGCGACCACTTTTTGCAACGTTGTGTGCAAAACAGGCGGGACAACAACCAGCATCCAAATCCGAAGCGGGTTCCAGAGACACAGCCACAGCCATATCCACACAGCTCGTGGGTGCACCTTTCCAGTTGGCCAATCTTATCCAGCAATTAAAAATGGCCGCTGCCGCTGCGAGCGCAGTGAATGCAGTGAACGACTGCTTCAGCATTGGATCCACAGTCGTCTGCACGACCTGTTTCAACGAGGAGGTGGAGGGCGAGGTGCTGGCCTTCGATCACAACACAAAGATGCTTATCCTGAGTATCCTTTTGCAAAGAAAACACACACACCTGACCGCCAGGTGAAAGTCAACACTTTCCCCGGCTTTATATAACGTTTAGGGATTATATTCAATGTCACCAGTCCATGTTACATAGTGTTTAAGTTATCCTAATTGGAAGTCAAAGGCGCATTAACCATTTAACACTCTCTATTTATCATTCAATTTCACTTGACCACAGTATTTATCAAAAATTATGGTGGTTCCAAAAGTGGTTGCTATTCAATTTTCTTTCAATATGCATACAAGTTGTTTTTCCTAACATTTGGACTTCCTTAACTTTGCTAAGATACCTTTTTAATACAAAATTAACAAAATCTCATAGGTTTTTAAAAATTATAAACCATTTGTATTACATATTGCATCATTATTAGATTGTCTTAACTTAAAGTCCTATACAAGTTTTTCTTTTATTGTTTCATTTAAGCATTATCTTTAAACTTTTTTACCTATTACCATAATTGAATTATTCTGAACTTAGGTCACGGACAATCCTTACGTTTGTCTTCCTAACTAAATATTAAAAAGCCTCCGCGGATAGTTAACTTTTATGCATAACACATTGCTTCTTGTGAATGAAAATGAAATGAATTTGACAAGTAAAGGTTTTATTATCTTTAAATGATTTTACCTTTGCATATAATTAGTTTAAATTAGTACTATTTAAGATTGCTTGTCTCTCATTACCCTATATTCCTACTGCCCAACTACTTGGTTCTCCGTACATCGAATATCTGCCTTTTCCGTTGCCCCTTCTTTTTTTCCCCTTTCAACCACATAGAATGCCGCTCCAAGTCCACTGAGGAGCTGAGTGATATCTACGCAATGAACCTCTCGCTGTGCAGCAACGTGCAGGTGGTCAAGGAGTGCAATGGCAACTTTGACGATCCGCAAAAGCTCAACCTGGAACAGGTAACCACTTCATACTTTTCCCTTGCACAAGTCTAACTCTTTCAACACTCTGGCAGGTAAAAATGCGTCTGCGTAAAACAGTGGAGCGAAGGCAAGACTACTTGAAGTCCAAGAACGCGGATGTCAGTCCAGAGGCACAGGAGCTTTATAGAGCGATAGCCAAACAATACGGGGTAATGACCTCTCAAACACTGCCAGTGATTAGCCTTTACATTTCCCCTATGTTTAATAGTACAATGAAGTCTCATGGCAAGGACTTAACATACAAATCCTCAACGAAGTCACCATCTCGCCGCCGTACCGAGCCGACAACGTGGTGTCCAGCTCAAACAACGAAACTTCGTGCAACTACATCAAGCGCATCGTAAGCCATTGTCCAATTGCATCCCTCTTACACAAACTGTCATAACTCAAAAATCAAGTGGGAGAAAGCCAAGATTACTTTATAGCTTACGAAATGGAATCTCCGGTTTTCAAGCTCTGTCTAAATAGTCAAACTTTTTAAGGATTTTAGAAAAAAATATTAGAGTTAGATGACACATAGAATATGCTTGAAATCAGCTTAAAACCTTAATCCTTAAAAATTAAGTTTTGCATTTTCGATGTGTTTTTCAATTATTGCAAACACTATATGAAACAGGCCATATTTTGTCAATTCTAAAAGTTGAGAACATTCTGGACTTGCTGTGGTAAATTATGCAGTTCCATTTAGGGTTAATTATTGCGGTTTAGGTTACGATTATAATGGAATGTAATTAAGAAGGGCGATAAGCAAAGCTGATTTTAAAACCGAAAACTTGTCAATTATTCGGATAGAATTGTAGCAAACCTAAGTTTCTACAAAGCAATTTTGCTGGCTTATAAGCTATAACAATATTAATTATAAAAATTATCAAATGTTTTAGAAAGAATTAGATTTTGGCAAAAGTTTCTAAACAAAATATTTTTTTTTTCAAAAGTATCTTAAATAAATAGACAGAATATAAATAAATAAACCCATTATAGAGACTAAACAAGGTACTATGATTTATGACAGTTGTGTAGGAAGTTAGCGAAGGGTTCTTATAATATGTTAATTAATTCCCCGTCCATTCGATTGTCCAGATCAATCAGTTCTTCAACACAAGGCCATCGCCGGTTCCAGAAAGCGGAGCTGCGGCCAGCACCTCGTCACCATCGGTGTCTCCCACGTCCTCATCTCTTGCATCTGGATCGCCGGTTCCCGCAAACTAATGATAATGAGAAAAAAATACACAAACAAAACAACACAAAAACAAAAAAACAGAAATGTGCTTCAAAAAGGACATCCCAATTGTTTTTAATTTTTTAGTGGGTTAAAGGTGGGTATTATAAGATATGAGGGTTATATAACGCACGTTTTAAAATGTAGGTATGTTATATATTTATGCTTTGAATATTACATTTTAAAATGTCCTTAAATTCTCGGCGTCAATTTACCTTCTAAAATGTTAAAAACAATTCCAGGCTATTGACAAAGGAGATATCCTGAAACCTTTAAAAAAAAGTCCTGGCAATTATTTGAAGCTTTCAAAGATAGAGAGATTTGGTTTGGCAAATTTTATAAAAAAAATTAAATAAATGCTTGGCCGTATTGAAAAATTAAATTTTAATTAATGATTTTTTGAAATAAATCGATTTATAAAAAATCACAAATTTAGCTGGAAAACAGCTAAATGGCAACTACCGCGTTTGGCTTGAAAAAGCTAGATGGCAAAAGCGATTGCCGATAACCGATAGTCTGACCATTGTGAATGGCTGTTTTGTGGCCAGATGCAAAAGCCGCATTTTTTAATCTATTTTAGCGAATAAACAATAAATAACAGCCGATTGCCATGGAAGATGTGCAAAAGCACAGCGTGCACACGTTGATATTCCGCTCCCTGAAGCGCACCCACGATCTGTTTGTCTCGAACCAGGGAAATCTGCCGGAGATCGACGACCGACTGTGAGTATCTAGAGTTGTGTTGTGATGAAAGTGCCAGTTCCAGTTGCTAATCCTTGTGATTCGATTTCTGGGGACAGGGAGAAGCTGCGGCGCTCCATCAAGGCGCGGGACAGCTATGGTCTGGTGCTGGACAAGGCGGTGAAGATCAGCGAGGCCAGGAAGGGATCGGGAGCTCCAACGCCAGGCGACAAGCCACTGGCCATCACAGACGGTACTGCCGATGCCGCTGCGGGCAGCCTGGTTAAATACAATCCGGGCGGCAGGACAGCGGAGACCACTGTGCCCCTGGTCACCGGCAATCACACATCCCTGGTGCGCGCCTCGCTGGCCAACAACAATGGCGACAAGGGCGCCAATGGCACCGCCAGCAATCTGCAGCTGATACCCAAAAAGGCGCCCACCATACCCAAGCCCAAGTGGCATGCCCCCTGGAAGCTGTCGCGCGTCATCTCCGGCCATTTGGGCTGGGTGCGCTGCATTGCCGTGGAGCCGGGCAACGAGTGGTTCGCCACTGGGGCCGGCGATCGGGTGATCAAGATCTGGGATTTGGCCAGCGGCAAGCTGAAGCTATCGCTCACCGGCCATGTGAGCACAGTTCGCGGGGTGGCCGTCAGCTCGAAGCATCCCTATCTGTTCAGCTGCGGCGAGGACCGGCAGGTGAAGTGCTGGGATCTGGAGTACAACAAGGTCATCCGTCACTACCATGGCCACTTGTCCGCCGTTTACTCGCTGGCCCTGCATCCGACCATCGATGTGCTGGCCACCTCGGGCCGCGACTCGACGGCCCGCATCTGGGACATGCGTACCAAGGCGAATGTGCACACACTGACGGGGCACACGAACACGGTGGCCAGTGTGGTGGCCCAGGCCACCAATCCGCAGATCATCACCGGATCCCACGACTCCACGGTGCGTCTGTGGGATCTGGCCGCCGGCAAGAGTGTCTGCACCCTGACCAACCACAAGAAGTCGGTGCGCAGCATAGTCCTGCATCCATCGCTGTACATGTTCGCCTCTGCCTCGCCGGACAACATCAAGCAGTGGCGCTGTCCGGAGGGCAACTTTGTGCAGAACATTTCCGGCCACACGGCCATTGTCAACTGCATGGCGGCCAACAATGATGGCGTGCTCGTCTCTGGCGGCGACAACGGCACCATGTTCTTCTGGGACTGGCGCACCGGCTACAACTTCCAGCGCTTCCAGGCACCCGTCCAGCCGGGCTCCATGGACAGCGAGGCGGGCATTTTCGCCATGTGCTTCGACCAGTCGGGCACTAGGCTGATCACCGCCGAGGCGGACAAGACCATCAAGGTGTACAAGGAGGATGACGAGGCCAGCGAGGAGTCGCACCCGGTCAACTGGCGGCCCGAGCTGCTCAAGCGACGCAAGTTCTAGAGTCCTAGTTTTTAAGCTACCATAGACTACAATTTTCCAAGCGATTTCATTAAAAACATGTATTTTAAAGACGAGCTACTTTCGACGTTATTTATGTAGAGGGGTACTTTTATTTAGATTTAGATAGACAGGGGTAAAAGATTTTATATCAGCTTTAGATATAGCGGTTATTCTTAAAGGATCCCAAAGTGAAAAATCATTAGATTGATTTAAAACCGAGGTAAGTTTGAAGGGTAAGGCTCTATAGTTTATAAACTAACCCTAAAGTTTTCTATAATTTCAGGAGTTCTATCAAATAATGTATATATTTCATGATCAGTAGAGTTTTCAACTTGCCTCTACATAGTAATATGAATTTTATCGAGTTAAATAAACCTTTTGTTGTAAAAGATTATAAATTCTCTGATATAAAACATTAAAATTAAAGAAAACAGTTTAGAGCATAGAGATTCTCTCTCTTTATAGCCAATGAAAGAATAGTTTAACTTCATTTTCCCAGACAGGAAACTTCAACCATACGTTGTATATAAAGATTTCTTAAAATTCATTCAAAAAAGGCAAATATAAAAAACAGAAAACACTGAAAATCTGAAGCTTTGCTAAAAGTATGGCCCCACATGATATCAATACCAAAATTCTTCCCATCTTGTATTCAACTTAATTTTTTAATAATTCAAAAACCATATATGTATTTTTCCTAACCCAAAAAGAAACGCAGGAGTCCTCGCTCCTTGCTGCACACATTTCAGTTGAATTCTTGGTATTTTATTCGTTTTTTGTTGGTTTTTTGTACACATAAATAATTTGAATTATTTGCTGCATAAATAATAATAGCATAGTAATATATTATTAAAATATTTTTGTTGTGGGCTCTTCTCATTTGATTGGTTTCTTGAAACGGATATCGGTTTTTCGCTATAGTTAACAAAGAAAAAGCACTAAACTGTATGTATTATAGTAATTTATTAATTAATATTATGTTGTCTAGTCCTTTGCATACACTTTTATCATTTCATGTTTAAAAATCACAAATAATTGTTTGAAACAAATCTTATATTTTCCATCTCCTCGCTGTCTCTCTGTCTCTTTCGATCTGCTGCTCGAATAGAATATATCTTTATAACTTTGCCTTCCTTGTCTCTTTTAGCGCAACTCGGTGACTTTTTGTGTTAATCTTTTTGTTTCGTTTAAAGTTATACTTGTTACTTAGTTGCGTTTATTTGTTTACAGCTCTCTCCGTATATTTATATATATGTATCTTTTGTTGGTTGTATTTAGGTTTAGGTTTAGGTTCTTCCTTTGTTTTCTTTTTTCTTACATATGTGTTCTTTTTTTTATTTTTTAATGGGCAACTTGCAACGAACGCTTATTTACATTTAGACAAAAGCAACCGATTCGTTCCGTTTCGAATTCACTTCTGCCTGCGATTAAACAATTATCGATTAAGAATATTATAGCATAGAAAGTACACACACACGTAAAAGCCTAAGCCTAAATTGAAGTTACTTTAATTCAAGCAGCAAGTCAGTAGAATTGTGGGGGACTGCAACTCGATGCGAAAGTTGATACTCGGACTCTGGTCAGGATTGCAACTGGAAACGGAACTGGACAGTGTCGGATGGGATCGATGATCCAAAGCGATCAGGAAGGAGGAGCTGGTGTGCGTGGCCAGTTCTTTAACATCGCCGTTGGCGGCGAGGGTTAATAAATAACTATACTTGACTTAGCGGTTAGATTACAAAAACAGTTTATATATTTAAATTAAATGGGGTAAGTGCTGCGTGTGTGTGTGTGAACGGTTCCTAGGACTTCTGCCTGCTGCTTCACGTGCTTCAAATTTGGAGGACTGAGGCCGCCACTCTCCATCCATTCCTAGCCGTCGTTCCATTTCGCAATACTTAATCCTCTGACCCCCTCCCCAAAAAAAAATCTTGCTCCTTCATCCAGTTCACAGGCATGTCCACCCGCTCCAACCAACACACCCTCTAGTTGTATATCTTAATGGCCTTCTCGGAAAAGTTGAGCGAGCTGCGCTTGCGCGATTTGTTGATGTGATCCAAGCCGAAGAAGGGCAACTGACCGGTGGTCCACGAGCGATACACCTCCAAATCAACGGGCGTATTGTCGTTCACATCCGCATTGTGGCCCATGCTGATCACGGAGAACTTGTAGTTCTCCCACTCCTTGTCCGGCACATTCAGACGCCTCTGGATGCGTTGCTTCAGAGCGCCATACGGCTCGCCCTGGCGCGCCTTGGTGAGGAAGGGTACGCCGAACGAGTTGTACAGCTCCTTGCTGAAGTGGGCCACTGGGATGAGGTACTCGTTCTCCGCCAGCTGCATCTCCTCCGCCGGCACCTCCTCGATGCGATAAGTCTTCTGGGCGCCCTGGGTGGTCGTGATCGACTCGCTGGTCTTCAGCAACGTGTCCAGCGGTATGTCGTCCTTGCAGACCGCCACGATCTTGTGGTTGCTGACCTTCATTAGGCGCAGCTTACGCCGGCTATTCTCCGCGAACGTGATCTTCTTGGCCGCTTCCTCCAGCAGACCCTTTACCGTATCGTTCTTGTTCGGGTACAGAACCAGCTCCTTCTCGTCTTTGAGGTCGCTGCTCACCCAGACGCACTTAAACTGCTTCTTGTTGTCCAGCTCGTGGATGCTCAGCGAGAGGCGCTGGTAGAAAATGCGCTTGGGCGTGCTCTGCTTGGTGTACGATACCAGGTCCTTGATGGTGCCCTGCAACGGAAGATGGGGTACGAGTAGTTGAAACAACCATTGAACATGTTTCCGATTTGCAAAACCGGTTAGATTGTGTATGGAAGCTGGTTTAGAATGGAAAGAAAGCAAGGCGCTTTAAAACTAATTAACTAATGTATGTGTAAATTTAAATAAGTAATAGGTTTAAATGGATTTTCGGTCCTTACAAAATAATTGCTTATATTATATTAAACTACATTTCTACATGTTATCAATTAATACGAAAATTAATTATAAATAAGGCTAATACAAACATTTATTTGAATTAAATAGCTATGTTTTATACATCCGCATCACACAGGTCGACAAAATAAAAGCCCAACGACAAACGCTATCAAATCTTAAAGGTTTTCACCTGTAGATTACGACCCCAAATGGTTAAGCTTTTATAAAGCCATAAAAAGTGCCTAAAAATCAAACATTTGGTACTTTGACCACGATTTTCTTGAAACTGTGACGTAGTAGGGTAGTAATCTGTAGGTAATATCGTAGCGTTTAGTCTTGGGGCCAAAAAATGTCTAGATTTTGTCGACCTGTGCTCTGGGTTATAATTTTAATTTAATTAATAAAATAATTAGAAATTAAACTTATGCGTACATTCTTTGCACCCACCTTGAACGTGTAGGGCACTGCATTTCCCGCCGTCTCCTTGTAGTTGTTGATGCACATAAAGAACTGCAGCTTCTGGGGATCGGTGTTCAGGCGCTCGGCCACCGCATTGGTTAGCTGCTCGTAGTTGTAGCGATTGGAGAGCTCCAGCGTGAAGTCCGGTTCATTGGGGTTGCACTTGTCGCTGAAGATGATCTCGATGCGATAGACAAGATCCAGGAAGTAGTCCTCCACAGTGGGCAGGTCCAGCTTGGCGTCCACGCACTCGCGCTCGAAAATAAGGATGTGACCCTGCAGATGGTCCTGCGGTATGAAGAGCACGCTCTCGATGGGCTCGTTCAGATTGAGGAGCTTCTTGTCGGCGTACTCGTCGTAGATGGTCAACTCGGTTTCCGGTTCGAAGCCCAGTTTGCGGTTAACCTCCGGCACGAGATCGATCAGCCGGCGGGTATATGGCTGCTGGGTGCATCCAATGTAGTTGAGGCGCTTGTTTCGCGCATCATAGTACTTGAGGAACAGCAGGACCTCCGACTTGGGATTGAAGGGCGGCAGGGGACCAGGAACGTTCGGACAGGCTAGCTCCAGCCAGATGACCCACGGCTTCTGCGATGTGGGGATCTGCTCGATGGTGCGCGACGCCTCTGCTTCGAAGTCAAAGTGCAAGAACTTCTGCGTCTGGGCGGTGCACATGTTCCAGATGCGCATGCGATCGCGCGACACGCCGAAACCCTTGACAAACATGTCGACCAGCTCGTCGACGGTCTGATTCTGCTTGATCCTAAAGATGCGCGGATGGGCCTTCTCCAGATCGAACAACCGACGCTTATGCTGGTCCTCAAAGTACTCCTCGAGGATGACGTGCACGGACACATAGAGGTTGGCCTCGCTGCGCTCCTTGCGACGCGCCATCTCGATGCGCTTCTCCAAGTCCAAGCGCTCCACTAGGTCGCTCGAGATCTCGTTCTCCGGTATATCGCCCAGGACACGCTCCAACTCCGATTGCCGGATGTACACCAACATGTAGGCATTGCTGCACTTGGCATGGAACGAGATCTCGTCGTCCATGCCGCCGTAGTTCTGTTCAATTGCCTCCTGCTTGCGGCAACTGGAGACCACGTCGTCGTCGAACTTAAACCAGCGTCCATCAGCCTTGGGATTGATGAAGACCACATAGTGACCGCCGTGGTTGTCGCCAGAGTGGACAAGCACAGCGTGCAGGACGTAGTCCGCCGAGGTCTTCTCGCTCTCGGCCAGGTAGCGGTCTAGGTTGATCTGCTCGTAGAACTCGAAGCGATCGTTGTACTTGATCGAGCTGTCTGTGATGGGATCGTACTGGAAGCGCATCAGGTGCAGATGCAAAACGGGCGGGAATGCAGTAAAAATGACGCCCTTACTGGCCTCCTAAAAACATATGGTAATATTTGCATTATAAATCAAGAATTTGGTAAATAAAGGAGTTATTTTATTTGAAGTCGCGACGACAAAAGCTATTGAAGTTAAATCCTAGCCATCTCCCACAGCTAAATCAAATTCCGACTCACCTGAAGGCCATGCACACCAGCATCGTATTTGTTATCGCCCTCCAAGGTCTCGGAGGCCACATAATCCTGGAAGGACTCGTAGATGTTCTTCTTGTCCTTGATGTTCAGCTGGATGTCGTAGAACGTCTCGTAGCGAGTGCTGTTGTAGTCGACGTTCTTGCACTTGATGTATGAAGACATCTTGCCCTCGAATAGTCCCGGAATAGTGCCCTCCAGGGTGGTGCCCTTCATCTTGGACTCCAGCTTGTCGAGCAGTACACGCAGAAATTCTTGGACATCATGCTGCATAAACGAGTCGAGTGTCTCCCAGCCAAAGGACTTGGTTAGCTTCTTGGTGCCCACGGGACGGTCACCGAACTGCAGTTCGTGGAACACCCGCTGCAGCGATAGGCCCACCGACTTGGTGCTATCATCCGCCTCCGTGGGAATGCGATACACGGACAATCTCAAGGAGTTGGTAAAATACAATGTCTGCAGCAGTGAGTTCATGTAGCAGGTGGCGCCCTGATTCTTCAGGCCCACATAGCCAGTGTGCTTCTTCGAGTCCCACAACACACCGTGCGGGGCATCCGCAATGACGTGAACCTCCAGAGTGATGCTGTTGTTGTGCACATAGCTCTTGTCGGCATCCTGCAGCTCCTGCCAGGTGATGAAGTTCGAGTAGCCGTAGTCGTTCTCCTTGGAATAGAACAAATGCTTGATGCGGGCCCGGGTGAAGGGCTGTGCATCCGGCTTGTGGCATTTCAAACGCAGCTCGGCGATGGCGTTGCAAGACCAGGTGGGCGAGTCATTCTCCCCGTTGCACTGCAGGAAGAAGCCCAGCGCCCGATCATTGGGTATGACCATGATCTTCCATGGCAACATGCGTACATAGACTGGCGGCGACAGTCGCTGCGACTTTAGTTGACCCACATTCTCCACAGTGAAGGAGAATGTGGTCTCCGAACGGAACTGATCCTCCTTGGAGTCATCATCGATGCCCATGGCCTCGGCGTCCTGGCCAAAGGATGCGGAGCTACTGTCGGCCAGCAGCTGCTGTGGCGGCACATTGCCGTTCTCGCTGGGCAGCTGAGTAACTGCACCCACTGCGTGCAATTGTGGCTGGATTAGATTTTTGAATTTGGGCAACTGAGGTGGCGAATTCTGCTGCTGCTGCTGCGGGGTCTGTTGTTGCTGTGGCTGCTGCTGGAGGTCACTGGTGAGGATCTCGACCTCTTGGGTGTCCTGGGTGTCCATTGCTTCAATAGACTGGTCTGTTTCAATTTCCATTTTAGTCGGCACTTGAATGGTGCTAAAATCGGCGGCTCCTCCGCGGAGGATCGGTATCGGATCGGTAGAGGTATCGTTATCGGGTATCGGTCGGGAGGATGGGGAATCACTGGATTGGCCCTGCTGGATTGCTGGATGACTGGATCACCGTTCCAGCCGCTATGCGGCGTTCCTGCTCTCGGTGTGTCTCTCCCTCTCTCTCAATCGAAGCTCTCCCACTCACTGGAAAACAAATTTGTAACAACAAATGTAAAAATACACTCGGACACACACACGCATATTGTGGGCATACATAATGTGCAGGCTTATTCATGTTTTGTACAATGACTGGCTTTTTTGTTTTATGCAATTTGTTGCGGCCAGCGGCAGAAGAAGCAGCAGCTTTAAATGCGTCGCCGCTGCTTCCTCACGCACGCACAAACACGCACAAACACAAGCACATGCACTTCTGCGTTCATTTTTTGCACATACATATGTTTGTATGTATGAAGCTTACCTTGCTATCCGCGCTTGCTGTCAATAAATATAAATAAATATATTTTCGGCCCGCTCGCTCTCTTCTCTCTCTCACCTCACAGATTCCAGAAAAGGAGGGGGTTGGCGCTGGGCGGAGGATATTGGCTGGTGGGCGGCAAGGCGAGGGCGTTTAAATCGGAAAACAGCAGCGTAACCCGTAGCTGAACTTAAGCTCTGGCGAAAAAAACGTTTATGTATATATTCTTTTCGTATTTTGCCGTATGCGTGTGCTCGCTTGCTTGCTTTCTTTCCAACAATACAATACTACACATACACTTCAATTTATGGCATTTGTATGGGTGTGTGCGTTTTTCCCGTCCGCGTTTACCCTGTCGGTGTGTGTGCGTTGCACGTCGCTTTTTTTTTTTGGCTGGCCCCAGCAAACAAGTATGCCGAAAACACAAATTTTGTCGAATCAGAAGTTAAACTGTTTGAATTTATAAACAACCAGCTCCGACGTATTTCACACGGCACTGCATCGCATCGCCAGGTATCAATTAATATTTTCGCACACACACATACACATGCAGCGCGCAGCTCGTGCAGCTGTCAAAAACGAAACGATAACGGAGGCACATGTTATCGGCGCCAGCAACGCTGCGCCTCACGACCCTCACGCGGCTATCGATAGCGTCTTGGCCAGCGGGAAATAGCCAGATGTAGCTGGATTTCAGCTATTTCAGCGAAAGCGCCACACAAATCAAGCGGGAAATGCCGAAAAGCTTAGTTTTTCCATGGAATTGGCTCAATTCCTGGAAAGTTTTGTCGAAACTTGACCTCCAGTATGGAAAGCATAAAAGTTATCGGTTTTTGTTATTTAAAAACAATAAAGCCAAACACACCAACTTAAAATTGCTAAAGAGGCTTTTAGCTTTAAATTGAAAATAATTTAACGTAACAATATGACATTTGTTTTTTACTTAAATTTATTATTCATGTTCTGATATGTACTTTTGCAAAATAAAACACATATTATTAAATCTATTACGAATCCTCTTTTAAAGCAACGTGAAAAACTGGAAATAAAATAAAATTGTTTGTGAAAAGCTTTAGAAAATTGTGTACAATTTTGCACTTATTTATTAAACTAAAACTTTAACCTGATTATATTACATACATATATACAATTGTATATTGAAATGAAATACTTATTTCTAATAGTCAGTATTTCCCAATTTGGAAAATAAAGGGAAATTTCGAACCCAAAAAGGAAAAAACAAAAAATGTAATACCGTACATGACAGCTCTACTAAAATATTCATATTTCATTCATTCTATACTTTTTTATTCATTATTATAATACATTTTTCTAGTTTATTTTTAAAAACAATCGATTTCTTTACGATTATTCCGATAGACAATTAGAATAATAGGTTATAATAATAATAATTTTTTATCGTTTCAGGAAAGACACGTGTATGCCCTGTTGGGCTTTCAGCACCATTTGGGCCTGTAGTTTGAGGGGAGCCTGCTCCGAACTCAGTTCCAGATCAAATGCCAGGACAAGGCGGGCGGTGAGCAGCTTCATCAGGAGCAGGGAGTACCGTCTTCCGATGCAGACATGTGGACCCCCCGAGAAGGGAATATAGCTGAAGGCGGGTGGGGCGGAACCGCCATCCTCCAACCACCGCTCCGGCTTGAAGGCATACGGATCCGGATAGTAGAGCTTATCGTGCGCCAATCCATACATATTAATCCACAGTGTGACCCCGGCACAATATGTTCGTCCTCCGATCTCGGTGGATTGCGTGGTCTGTCGTCCAGTGGTGGGCACAATGGTATACATGCGCAGCACCTCCTTGATCACAGCTTCTAGATAGAGTAGTTCGTTCAGAATGTCCAGGTCAGAGGATTCATCTACTGAAAGTCCCTGCAGTTCCTTTCGGAGTCGGATTTGAGTTTCGGGATATTTTGCGAGGGCATAAAGAACAAACGACATGGCCGCCGTCGTCGTGTCCACTCCCTAAAATCACAGATACAAGGAAATAATCATTTTTGTAGGTTAGTACCCCTAAAAAAACTTTTTTTTTTAAATATAATTTTAAAAAGGTACTAAAAAACAATTGTTCTTATAGGAAACCTTTTGTAAACCCACCGCAAACACAAAGGTGTTGACCTCATCACGAATTTCCTTTCTGCTCAGGGGTTGACCCTCGAATCTGGCCAAAAGGAGCGTATCCAGGAGATTGTGCGCCTTTCCTGGGGTTTCCCCTTTTCCCTCCATCATTTCCAACTCCTTGGCGCGCTTTTCGATGACCGATTCCATTAGTGTATGGATCACCTGGAGCTGCTCCTTGAGATCCCGCCAGAGTTGGGTGCGATGAAAGATCCAATCGGACGCTAGGAGAGGATTGATCATGCGTTTGAATAGCAACTTACTGCTGAGATGGAATGCATTTACGATGGGCGAGTGATCCACTGACTGTGTGTCCAGTTGGGCTCCCATCGAGGTGTCTGAAATGGGTGAGAAATTATTCAAGTAACCATGGCTAACATTTTTCAATATCAATCTAACATTATTAAATGGTAAACATAATACCTAAAAATATCATGGAATAGCCATGGGCTTAAGATATTTTTCATGGCTTATCTTTTTCAATATCATTTTAACATTATTCATTGTAAAAATAAATCTTACAAATATCATAGAAAAACCATGGGTTCAAGTATACACCTTACTAAGATTAAACTAAAGATATTCTTAAATTTTGTATAGGGAAAAGTAAAAAGCCATTAGGCACTGTATATTTTAAACATACCATTTTTTAAGCTACAAAAATGTTAAGATATGGTGTCGAACTCACCCACAATGGCGTCTAGAAGGCAGGCGAATAGAGGATCGGTGACCTCCAGAGGGGCTCCCTTGGTTTCCTCCAGTCTCTTGACCAGGCGATCCACGTGTCCTGCGATAGCCGGAGCAAAACTGCGCAGAAGTTGCGGCTGAAAGGCGGGAGTCAGGAGGCGACGCTGCCTAGTCCAATGGGCTCCATGGCTGAGGAGCAGTCCGTTCCCGATGAGCGGCTCCAGCTGGAAGAAGGTCTCCGCCTTGCGGAGCGTGGGATCATGAAGGGCCTGCCGCGTCTCCTCCGCCGAGTGAAGGAATACCCAAAGCTGGGGACCCAACCACAGGCGATAGGTGGCCCCATAGCGATCTCGCAGCTCTGTGAAAACCAGAAAGATGACTGATGAAAGATAACTGATGAGGGAATACCCCTGACTGATTGCTTTACTCACATTCTGGCCTTAGTTTGCCCACCATCTGGGCATTTCCCAGAAGTGGAAAAGCCCAAGGACCTGGTAGACTGGTTCCTAGTCGCAGGAGTGGCCATTTGCGGACCAGAATCCATATTCCCAGGGTGATCAGCAGCAGCGGCCACAGCGCCATGTCGCCTATAAGTCAATAGAAGTGTTCCCTTCCACCGATTCGATCGTACTGAATCAGTAGCTGAATTAAACTTGATTGGCAGCTAGTCTTTAGGAGGTAGTAGATCGTTAACCCTTTTTTAAGAAAAAGTTTTTCCATTAAATGTTTTACAATTTTTAATTTATTGCAAGGTATCAGAACTTGTATTGTTTTTAGAGAGGTTCCATCTAAAACACAAATTTTCAAATGTGTTCCAGTTTTTTTGAACCATATACGAATGAAACCTTAATTTTCCTTGGTTTCTTATGAAGTTACACAAATATATGAACATTTTTTATGTTCTTATGTAGATACTTAAGTAAAATACATTGAAATGTAAATTATCTTTAAAATATTTTAATAGTTACCTTTTGTATAACAACTAACAACTTATTACAAGGTATAAGAATTATCATTGAGAGCTATTATACGTGTTTCCGGTTTTTAACCCATTATAAAAGTAATCATAAGGCTTTTCTTGGTTTTTTTAAAATCGATCTACAAATACAAAAATATTTTATGCGTTTTTGAGGTAAATAAGATCAATTTAAGTAAATAAACATTTTCATTTAAGTATTATATTATATTATAGTTAGTTATTATATTACAGTTACTGTTAGTAAAAACCCTCTTTGGCGCAAAAGGGTTACAAGTTGCTCCACTCACAGATCAACGAACTATTAACGCTAACAGAGGCCTGGTTAGATAAGATTATCGGATTTCATTCAGACATAGGGGAATACATATGCAATGGCTTTATTGGCTCGCTGGTTTATGCGGATTATTGAATTCTAACGATCAGTATTTGCGGCTTTTTCTATCGATCAACCTGCAATATCTAATCTTCACAAGCACTTGAGTGCACTGAGTGCAGTCGTTGATATATGTAAACATATGTATAGATGGCCCGATTTGTATATTCATATTTGCTAGGGGTGTTTTATTTCTATTGGGAACCTGTCTGAAGATAAAAAGTTGGACGGTTGAACTTTGATTTCGTCAATTAAGATGCAATATCATACAAAAAAGGGAGTTTGTATGATCTTGTGGATTCTTCTCTCTTAATATAAAAATTCTGTAAACTATCGTAAACTTTAAGGTTTAAAACATTGAACATATTTTTTGTAACGTTTATATCTTAAGAATATTTGTATTTTTAATGAAATTTGTGTATGTCATCTTATCGTTTCCAACCCTATAACGAATAAACATATATTTATTTTTGATCAGGATCAGTAGGCAGTCAGTCTAGCCCTGTCCGTTTGTCTGTCCGTATAAACATAGAGATCTCTAGACTTTAATAAGTTAATAAGTAATGCCTATATGCAGGTTTATATTTTTAAGAATTGGGTATGGCTCAAACAGAATACGAAATAATATTTGTTACAAGTTTATAGCAGTTCAAATACCACGTGTTAGGGAAGATATAATGTAAAGTAGTCGAAATAGGATATAAATATAATAATAACGAGGGGTGCCACATAAATTACTGGGATTTTGAATGCACATATGTTATATGTCATATAAGATCTAGATATATTTATACAAAAGAAAGTCCGATGGATTTCAACTCATATAAAAATGGTTTTCAAAATTTAAAAGAAGTGTAATTAAACTGTTTTACCATATGTACAATGATTTGAAGGTTCCAAAAAATCGTATTGAATTGTAAATACTTCCCACTGTCCACTGGGCAATTAATAAAGCCATTTCTGTGGTAGACAGCGGTGTTGCCAATAATTGTGTCTCGCACATTTCGGCAGTTGTCAACTGTTTGCCCAACCGAGCGGTTCACATAGCTTAAAGTTTAGTCTTAGCCACCTCCATCTGAGCCATTGAGCCACTGAGCCACTGAATCACTGAACCACGTCCGAGGAGAAATCAACAAGCTGCCTACAAAGCACCGCATTAGGCCATAAAAAGCTGGTGGGGATCGGATCGGATCGGTAGTAATGCACCTGAGCGTGGCCCTTTGGGCGTGTGGCGCCCTCCTGGCGGTGCTCCTCACCTGGCAGCAGAGAAAGTGCTGGCGGCTCATCTGGCAGCTGAACGGGTGGCGCGGCGTGGTGCAGCAGCCGCTCCTGTGGACCCTGCTCTGCCTCAACCTGCACCCTAACAGTTGAGTGAATAGTCCTTGAACTTGTCCCTTAA